TTCACGGGTGCACGTTGTTCTCCAAGATTGATTTGGTACGCGCCTACCATCAAATACCAGTGGAACCAACAGACATCCGTAAGACTGCCATCACTACACCGTTTGGATTATTCGAGTTTGTGCGCATGCCCTTTGAGCTCCGCAATGCGGCACAGACTTTCCAAAGGTTCGTCGACGAGGTAACCCGTGGTTTACCATTTGTCTTCGCCTACATTGACGATCTGCTGGTAGCGAGCTCATCAGAGGCTGAACACAAAGAACACCTTCGACTCCTGTTCGACCGCCTCTCGCAATATGGCATAGTCATAAACCCCCACAAATGCCAGTTCGGCGTGCCATCCCTCTCCTTCCTCGGTCATCTCGTCAACCAGCATGGAGTCTGTCCTTTGCCTGACAAGGTGCAAGTCATCAGAGATTTCCCGGAACCGGCATCGCTGAGTAAGTTGCGGGAATTTCTTGGCCTCATCAATTTCTACAGGCGTTTTGTTCCCCACTGTGCAGACATTCTCCAGCCCCTGACCGACCTGCTCAAGAACAGGAGGAAGAAAAACGAGCCGATTCAGTTAGGGCCGAACGAGCAGCTAGCTTTCGAGCGTGTGAAAGCTGCATTGGCCGACGCCACACTCCTAGTCCACCCACAGACTGACGCACCGTTATGCCTCTTAGTCGACGCATCGGACAAGGCCGTGGGCGGTGTTCTCCAGCAACACGTTAAGGGTGTTTGGCAACCACTGTCGTTTTTCTCCAAGCGCCTCCAACCAGCGGAAACCCGCTACAGTACTTTTGGTAGAGAGCTTTTAGCTCTATACCTCGGCATCAAGTATTTCCGACACATGCTGGAGGGACGGACATTCCGCGCTTACACTGATCACAAGCCCCTTACGTACGCCCTACACTCCAAACTAGACCGCCATTCTCCTCGGGAGATTCGACAACTTGACCTCATATCCCAGTATACCTCGGACATTAGACACATCAGCGGCCATGATAATGCAGCGGCGGATGCACTCTCTCGTCTGGAGGTTAATGCCTTACCAACGAACGCGACTATCAATTTCGACGCCATCGCTCAAGCACAGATCGATGACGACGAGTTGAAACATCTCCCCGACACCTCTCTCCAGCTAACTGCCGTCCCCCTCCAGACATCGCAGGGTACCATTCTATGCGATACCTCCACAGGGACGCCTCGACCCTTCATCCCAGCCCCGTTTCGTCGAACAGTTTTTGACGCTTTGCATGGACTGTCGCACCCTAGTATCAGGACCACACAGCAGTTACTTACTGCACGGTTCGTGTGGCCTGGTATTAACAAAGACGTTCGCGCTTGGGCTAAGACTTGTCGCAAGTGCCAACAATGCAAAATTCATCGCCACATCAAGTCGCCACTTGGTACGTTCTCCACACCCGACGCACGATTCTCACACGTACACATCGATTTAGTCGGTCCCCTTCCACCGTCAGCCGGACAGTCCTACCTGCTTACGTGTGTGGATAGATTTACACGTTGGCCGGAGGCGATCCCCATTCCTGACATGACTGCTGAGACTGTGGCCCATGCATTCGTTACCCACTGGGTTTCTCGGTTCGGTGCACCAGCTACCATCACCACCGACAGAGGACGCCAGTTCGAGTCACGACTTTTTCGAATGCTCACTGACATGCTCGGTTGTCAACGAATTCACACTACATCATATCATCCTGCTGCAAATGGGATGGTAGAGCGACTACACAGACAACTCAAGGCATCGCTAAAGACTCATGCTAACCCACGTTGGACAGAATCTCTTCCCCTCGTCCTGTTAGGCATCAGAGCCGCTATCAAGTCAGATATCGGTTTCTCTCCAGCAGAAATGGTGTACGGTACCACAGTCAGGCTGCCTGGTGAGTTTATTGTGCCTAACAATGATCATGCTGAGTTCGACCCCAGTGTGTATGTTCACAGGCTGCGTTGTCACATGCAGGACATTCGTCCCACTCCGCCCAGGCCACAACAGCGACAATCACACATTCCAGCTGACCTAGACAAGTGCACACACGTTTTTGTTCGGCATGATGCAGTGAAAACACCCCTACAACCTCCGTATGATGGACCATTTCGCATCATCAAGCGCGCCAGCAAATACTTTGTTTTGGACCTCAACGGCAGACGGGATGCGGTTGCCAAGGATCGTCTGAAAGTGGCGTATCTTGATGACGACTGGACATACGCGCATTCCCAACAGATTCGCGAGAACGCCCCCGCGAGAACTGTTTTCCTGGTTTCACAACCCCCATTGCCAGAGACGCCATCTCCTCCACAACGAGCCACCAGAGCTGGTCGACGAGTTCACTGGCCAGCCAAATATGAACAATTCGACTGTCACTGACTGTTATTATCAACTGCTTGTATCGATTGTTTCATTTATCTCTTACAATCTAGAGGGGAGCTACTGTAGTGACATGTACATGTGTATATAATTAAGTGTTTGTTCTTTTAGCTCCAACAGGCGTTCCATACAAATAAGTATGTTAATAAGTTTTGGTTGCCATAGGCACCGGAGTTCACTCTCGCTGTGCTGCGTTTGCGCAGTGTGACATGTTGGTGACCTTTCACTTATCGTTTTCATTCTGCTTTGTACAAGTCTTATTCCAACGTTGAAAGTTTCCTCAACCAAGTTTTATTCAGTCAATTGATGTGTGCTTAAACCTACTGACTTTCCAGAAGTTTGTTAATCATTGGATAGCAGGTGCATGACGAACTTGTGAGTTTTGAGAGCATTAAAACTTGTAAACAACCAACATTTTGTGTGCCGTTTTTCACGACTTGTAAGAACAGACACGAGGCTTGATAAACAGAAGTAGAACTCATTTCGGGAGAAAACACGAATTACTACAACGTCATCATGACGTCATAGTCTTCGCATCAGTTTTGTATGAGGGTCTTCCTTGGCTCTATTCCTTCCTCCATGCTGTAACATTGATGACGATTCCAGATCGCCAAGTTATAGAAATGGTGGCTTGAAAACGTGTACAAAGTCAATGGGCTAACACGTGTACAAAGTTAATGGGCTAAAAAAAAAACACTGCAGAAACATTGCACCTTTAAATTTGTAATTTGCCTTTGAACTGAAACATTTTTATGAAATATTACTTGATATTCTGACCCTTAGGAATATGTTCAATCGAATGACAGCGCGAAAAAAAATACGATTTCTCTTTCCTTCTCATAGTAATTCTCGGCTGAAGTTCAGAACTACTCAGTAAGATATCAGTGTTGTATATGAAAAGACTTGTGGAAAATCCCACTTCAGAAAAACTGCACCTTTAAATACGTAACATAGGGCTTTTCGGCATTATGATTTTTTATTATACGTCCATGACTATGCGCATGCATGAACATAAAATCTGTCAAAGTTAGCCGAAAATCGGCTAAAACGGTCACTGTGATGTGGACAGGATTTGACCTCGGCAACACGTGCTCTGCAGGCTGACTGACATACGATGTACATGCATGTGCGTAACGTACGTGTATGTACATATAGACGTTCTGTGCATGTTTTAGAGCAGAGGTATTGTCAACCTGAAGTTTTAAGCGTGCGCAGGGCATGTCCAAGTTCGCTTATTGCCTCGAAGCTTTGAAATGTTTTAGACCTACCCTTAAATCGACAATTAAAGTTAAAACTAACATAAAAACTGCCCTGGTTGATTTTTCAGGAATTTTCAAATGAAAAAAGGGTCTTTTTATTATAACTTCCGGTCTGATGACGTCATTCGCCTAAAACTTCGGACACATCTTAAGTGGGTCAAGGTCATCATATACCCAATATTTAGGCGATTCCGACAAACTTTGCCAAAGACATCTATTCAAAATACATTTTTGCAAAATTTCAACCTGTCGCTAGAGGGCGCTCGAAGATTGCATAACGTCATTGGTAGATGATTTGAAAAATACTTTTAGCCAAGAGACTAACACCGTTGAAAGCAATTTCATATCTATTACCATTTTCAAAAAATAATCCACTTCCGGTTTCGGCCTTTTTCGACAGGAAGCAAGGGTCACGTGATTTCACGCACACTGAATGAAATAAAGACCTCAACCTACTCTACCACTTGCTGGTAACAGAATGCTGCGGACGCATACGGTTGATTTCTTATGCATTTGTAAATATTAAAAGTGTCACAATTTAATTGCCTATGAATACACACCGGATGACGTCATCATGACGTCATCATTACACAATGTTGTTTGAATTAGAGTCTTTGCTTGGACAAAAATTGGTGCAAATGAATTACTGGCAAAGAGTCAAAAATGGCCTTTGAAAATCCCCATTTTTTTTAAATTTCTGTGTACAAAGTCTGTGGGAAAAATTAAATATTCAAAATTCTATAATAAATTAGTCGATGACGTCACCATGACGTCAATGTTCGGCACACAACTTCAGATGCTGGTCTAAGTTTGTGCCAAGTATAAAGGCAATCGGATTGATTTTAGTGCCCAAAGTGCCGGGACAAAAAAACGTGTACAAATGCAATGGGCAAATGACTGAAAAATAAAATTAAAAAAAAATAAAAAAATTAAAAAAATCTTAAAAACAAAGGCTGTTTTGGCAAAAGTGCCGAAACAGCCCCAAAAAACCACTTAACGAAAACAAAGGCTGTTTTGGCTAAAGTGCCTAAACATCCAATGAGTATTGAAGTACACTTTTCATCTAGTTTTGGTGGTTCAGCCTCGTGTCCTCATTGTATATGACTGACTCACTGACTGTCAATGAGTTGTGATTGAACCTCACTGTGACCCAAAAGGTCTCTTTGGATCCTAAGGACTCCCACAACATAGACCCCTACAAAACCTAGACCCCTAATTAGAGGGCTTGTACAAGCCTGTTAAAGCTGGTCCGTGTAGTCTTCTGTTATAATAGTTGATGATGCGCAGGCATTTACAGAAAGTGATGACTTAACGAAGAAAGTTGAAATTGAAGGAGCATTTACATTCCTCTGCGTGACTTATTTTATTTCAGCTGCTGAAGAGTCAGCATATGAAGAGATGCAGAATAGTGACAAAGACAAGGCAAAGGGCCCCCCAGCTGCAGGTAAATTCATATCGGGTTGTCTCTCACAGTTGATTTGATATTGATTTTCAAAGATCTATTAATCTTTAACGTGACGTCACGTGACCCATGATGACGTCATCGTGACGTCACTTCAATTTTCAACTATAACATCTCTCAGTCTTGGCACATGCCAACTTTCAACCCCATCGGACCTGTAGTTCAGGAGATATAGGCCTTCAAAATATGTTTATATTATATGATGTCATATGTCACGTGATGATGTCATCATGACGTCAAGTGATTTTTCATCTATAAGACATCCCGGTCTAGGTACATACCAACTTTCAACCCAATCGGACCTGTAATTCTGGAGATATAGCCCAATCTGTCAGATCTAGCCGAATTCTGCTAGGAAATACTTTATTCTAATAATCGAACAACTAGACTACCGTATTTACAAGAGAGGATTTGGACGGAGACATGTGTCTCGTTTGATGGTTGAAAGAAGAGTGAGCGAAGAAAGTAATAAAGGAGAGTGAGTGAAGAATCTAATAAGCAAGGTGGGGCTGACTATCCAATTTAAAAGCAATAAAAACTAGAGACTGAAGGAATGTACTAATGGACTTTGTGGTTAGGTGATAAAATGTGGTAAGAGGGACAAAGTAATAAAAGTGGGGCTTGGCTCAGTAATAGTAATCAATCAATTTAATAGGGCGATTGATACCATAGGGTCATAACTTTTACCCACCACTGGACTGTTGCTGGGGGCAATGTACGAGGGGTTAAAAGTTCACAAATTAAGCTATAATTATATGGAAGAAAACGCTACAGGAGCCCCCTTCCAGTGAGTGAGAAGTAACAAAAATTGATAAAACACTTAAGAACGAACGAATGTGACATAGCGTTTGGGCCAATGAACTGTGCGGCCTGAGCGGGTTGTACGAGGAGGTGGAATATCTGAGGTTGGGATATTCTGCTCGGTATTTACAGGATTGGTTTGGACTATTGGGATAGAGTGGTTGGGTTTGGGAAGAGCAGAATTCGTAGCATGATCTATATCCAAATGGGCAGATTTAAGGCGATCTATGCTAACTGTGTCCTGACGATTGTTCAGTTCAATGACGAAATGTTTAGCTGAACGACTGAGTACTTTGAAAGGTCCATCGTAAGGCGGTTGTAGAGGTTTGCGCACTGCGTCACGACGAACGAAAACATGAGTGCATGTCTGAAGTTCCTCGGGAACATGCACTGTGGGACGCTGCTGTGCGCGGGTTGTTGGTGGTTGAAGATCCTGCATGGCGCGTTTCAAGCGATGAACATAGTTCGTAGGCTCTAAGGCAGTGGCATCAGTGGTGTTGTCAAAGAATTCGCCAGGCAGGCGAAGTGTGGTGCCATAGACGCGTTCGGCAACACAGTGACCGAAATCGGACTTGACCGCAGTTCGGATTCCCAAGAGAATCAGCGGCAAAGTCTCTGTCCATAGGCTTGCATCTGGTTGTGCCCGTAGTGATGACTTCAGTTGGCGATGAAAACGTTCCACTAGCCCATTCGCGATTGGGTGATAGGCTGTGGTACGTATGCGGGTGGTACCAAGCAGATTTGTGAGTGCGCGAAAAAGTGCGGATTCAAACTGGGCACCGCGATCAGTGGTGATAACCGATGGAACACCAAATGAGGCCACCCATCGAGTTACAAAGGCACGAGCGACTGTTTCAGCTGTGATGTCGGGTAGAGGGATGGCTTCTGGCCAACGTGTGAAACGGTCAATACAGGTCAACATGTATACACATCCATTGGATGTGGGTAATGGTCCAACAAGATCAATGTGAACATGCGAAAATCGGGCATCTGGAGTAGAAAACTTAGACAGGGGTGCAAAGGTATGGCGATGGACCTTTGAGCGCTGACACTGTATGCACGATTTTGCCCATTGTCGCACATCACGGTTAACACATGGCCAAACGTAGCGGTCCGTGATGAGGCGTTGCGTGGCGCGAATTCCAGGGTGAGATAGGGAGTGTAGAGCGTCAAACACTGCACGACGCATCTCCACTGGAACAAATGGATGTGCGTTTCCAGTAGAAATGTCACAAGTTAATGTAATGTCACATGATGGTAGGGGAACTTGTTTGAACGTGAGCGAGGATGACGATGTGCGCAAGCGTTGAAATTCCTCGCTGGTGTTCTGCAATTCCGCCATTTTATGGAAATCGATGCGTGCAGTATGGTCCGTGCGAAGAGCATTTAATACGACACGAGATAGGGCATCTGCGGCAGGGTTATCTCCACCTTTAACATGTCTGATATCAATGGTAAACTGGGAAACAAAATCGAGGTGGCGAATTTCGCGAGGGGAGTGTCTGTCCGTTGTGGTGCCGTGAGCATATGTGAGCGGTTTGTGGTCCGTTAGCACATGAAATTGACGACCCTCGAGTGAGTGACAAAAATGGCAGATGGCAAGGTATATGGCCAAAAGTTCGCGACCAAATGTGCTGTAACGTGTCTCTGCTGGTTGAAGTCGCTTTGAGAAGAAAGCGAGTGGTTGCCATGCATTGTCAATTCGTTGCTGAAGAACAGCTCCCACTGCGACATCCGAAGCGTCCGTCATGACGCACAGAGGCGCGTCTGGCTTTGGATGTGCAAGGAGAGTGGCGTTAGCGAGGGCAACTTTGATAGCGTGAAATGAAGCGGTGGCAGAGTCATTCCAAGGGAGTGGTGCCGACTTCTTTCCGGCATTAGAAAGTAGATCGGTGAGTGGTTGGAGGACCTGGGAACACTGGGGAATAAAACGGCGGTAGAAGTTGACGAGACCGAGAAATTCCCTGAGTTTGGTGAGAGTTGTTGGTTGGGGAAAATCACGGATAGCACGGACCTTTCCAGCAAGTGGTTGCACTCCGTGACGGTCAACGTGATGTCCAAGGAATTCCAGTGACTCTGCGCCAAACAGACATTTCGCGGGGTTGATGATCACGCCGTATTGTTGGAGGCGGTCAAACAAAAGGCGAAGATGCGTTTCATGTTGATCGGCATCAGTACTGGCAACTAAGAGGTCATCGATGTAGGCATAACAAAAGTCAAAACCTCTTGTTACTTCATCAATGAAGCGTTGGAACGTTTGGGCGGCGTTGCGCAAACCAAATGGCATACGGGTAAATTCGAAGAGCCCAAACGGAGTCGTGATAGCGGTTTTAGCAATATCGTCAGGTGCCATGGGAATCTGATGGTATGCGCGGATGAGGTCGATCTTGGAAAATATCACAGTGCCATGTAGTGATGATGTAAAGTCTTGGATATGTGGCACTGGATAACGATCAGGCACTGTGGATTTGTTGAGAGCCCGATAGTCACCGCATGGACGCCAATCCCCAGGTTGCTTTTTGGGGACCATATGAAGAGGTGAGGACCAGTTACTGGCCGAAGGGCGCACGATACCTAAGTCCATCATGTGTTGGAACTCGTCTTTGGCGACTTTCAAACGGTCAGGTGCAAGACGGCGAGGGCGTGCGGCTGTAGGGGGGCCAGTCGTGATGATATGGTGCTCAACGTTGTGTTTGATTGGAGTGTCACTATAGGTGGGACGCGTTATGCTGGGGAAATCCTTCAAAATGTCCGCGAATCGAGATGGGGTGGGTGGTTTGAAGATGGGGCTGAGCGATGGCGATGTTGATGCTTTTCCATCGATGCTTAAGCTGGTCGTAGCATCAACTAGCCTGCAGTTGCGAATGTCAACAAGAAAGTTGAAATAACGAAGGAAATCTGCGCCTATGATTGCATGTTGAACGTCGGCGACGATGAACACCCATCGGCATGGCCGCCGAATCCCAATGTCAAGTGTCAATGACCTTTCACCATAAGTAGCGATCTGCGATGCGTTAGCTGCTTGAAGGTCATGTCCATGACAGCAGTGGGCGCGGTCGTGAGATGAAGGAGGGATGACACTCACCTCTGCTCCTGTGTCCACAAGGAATTGTTGCTTCGTTACTCGATCTGTGACATAAAATAGGCGATGAGATGGGGAACGGCCAGCAGAGCATGTCGCCCCTACTTGCCGGCTTGGTCGTTTTCCTGGTGAGCGGTCTTATAAGAACATGGCTGTGTACATTTGTGGGCCATAGCTCCAAATTTCTGGTGGTACCAACACTCTGCATCGTGCGTGGCCGTGGCTGCTGATCTACGGTCCTCAGTGCGTTGGCGACGCGGTTGACTGCGGCTGCGACTGCGTTCACGTGGACGGCTGGTGAGGTTGGATATCATTGATGCCAAATTCGCTACTTCGGCCCGCAGTTGTTGAATTTCGGTTGGTGGCGGAGATTCAATGGTAGTGATGTGTGCAGAGATGGGTGCCTGGGTAGGGGAGACTTCCATGATTTTATCTGCTAACTTTGCCAATTGGTCGATGTCGACCTCTTCTGAGGTGGAAGCAAGAATTAGCCGAGCATTGGTTGGAAGCCGCTGGAGAAAAAGTTGTTTCATTATTGATGGCTCCAATGTTCGCTCCCCCAAGAGCTGTTGCATCTTGCGGAGCAGTTGGGAGGGCTTTCGATCCCCCAACTCCTCTGTTGTCAAGAGTTGGTGCAAGCGTTTTTGTTCAGATTGAGATGTGCGCTTGATAAGCTCCTTTTTCAGCGTTGTGTATGGAGCCTCTGAGGGTGGAGTTATTAAAATATCCCTCACCTCCTGCGCTATAGTTGGCTGTAGGGACGCCACTACGTAAGCATATCTTGTGTGTTCGGAGGTTATGCCTCGAGTGGTGAATTGTGCCTCCACTTGGGTGAACCATATTGTTGGGTCAGATGGCCAGTATGGTGGGAGTTTGAGGCTGATGGTAGCGGTTACGGGTGGCTGTGCTGTTGCATCAGTACTAGTTGTAGCAGGAGTAGTAGGCATCGCTGCAGTTGATTCCAAAATTCCACTGTTTTGTTGTATAGATCACGTCAGGGTCACGTGTTCGAATCACGTCTGGGTCACCAGTTTAGGGTTTTGGTTGATGGAATAATGGAATACACACGATGTTGGTCGTACAGCAACTTTATTCTAATAATCAAACAACTAGACTACCGTATTTACAAGAGAGGATTTGGACGGAGACATGTGTCTCGTTTGATGGTTGAAAGAAGAGTGAGCGAAGAAAGTAATAAAGGAGAGTGAGTGAAGAATCTAATAAGCAAGGTGGGGCTGACTATCCAATTTAAAAGCAATAAAAACTAGAGACTGAAGGAATGTACTAATGGACTTTGTGGTTAGGTGATAAAATGTGGTAAGAGGGACAAAGTAATAAAAGTGGGGCTTGGCTCAGTAATAGTAATCAATCAATTAGGGCGATTGATACCATAGGGTCATAACTTTTACCCACCACTGGACTGTAAGTTCACAAATTAAGCTATAATTCTATGGAAGAAAACGCTACAGTTCAGCCTCGTGTCCTCATTGTATCTGACTGACTCACTGACTGTCAATGAGTCGTGATTGAACCTCACTGTGACCCAAAAGGTCTCTTTGGATCTCCCACAACATAGACCCCTACAAAACCTAGACCCCTAATTAGAGGGCTTGTACAAGCCTGTTAAAGCTGGTCCATGTAGTCTTCTGTTATAATAGTTGATGATGCGCAGGCATTTACAGAAAGTGATGACTTAACGAAGAAAGTTGAAATTGCAGGAGCATTTACATTCCTCTGCGTGACTTATTTTATTTCAGCTGCTGAAGAGTCAGGATATGAAGAGATGCAGAATAGTGACAAAGACAAGGCAAAGGGCCCCCCAGCTGCAGGTAAATTCATATCGGGTTGTCTCTCACAGTTGATTTGATATTGATTTTCAAAGATCTATTAATCTTTAACGTGACGTCACGTGACCCATGATGACGTCATCGTGACGTCACTTCAATTTTCAGCTATAACATCTCTCAGTCTTGGCACATGCCAACTTTCAACCCCATCGGACCTGTAGTTCAGGAGATATAGGCCTTCAAAATATGTTTATATTATATGATGTCATATGTCACGTGATGATGTCATCATGACGTCAAGTGATTTTTCATCTATAAGATATCCCGGTCTAGGTACATACCAACTTTCAACCCAATCGGACCTGTAATTCTGGAGATATAGCCCAATCTGTCAGATCTAGCCGAATTCTGCTAGAAAATATGGTCTCAACAGAAAAATCGCATATAATGTCACGTCACGTGACTCATGATGACGTCACGATGACGTCAATGTTCGGCACACAACTTCAGATGCTGGTTCAAGTGTGTGCCAAGTATAAAGGCAATCGGATTGATTTTAGTGTCCAAATGCCGGGGACAAAAAAACATGCACAAATGCTATGGGCAAAATGCCTTCAAAAAGAAAAAAAATAAAGTAAAAAACTAAAATCTTAACGAAAACAAAGGCTGTTTCGGCAAAAGTGCCGAAACAGCCAATGAGTATTGAAGTACACTTTTCATCTAGTTTTGGTGGTTCAGCCTCGTGTCCTCATTGTATCTGACTGACTCACTGACTGTCAATGAGTCGTGATTGAACCTCACTGTGACCCAAAAGGTCTCTTTGGATCCTAAGGACTCCCACAACATAGACCCCTACAAAACCTAGACCCCTAATTAGAGGGCTTGTACAAGCCTGTTAAAGCTGGTCCGTGTAGTCTTCTGTTATAATAGTTGATGATGCGCAGGCATTTACAGAAAGTGATGACTTAACGAAGAAAGTTGAAATTGCAGGAGCATTTACATTCCTCTGCGTGACTTATTTTATTTCAGCTGCTGAAGAGTCAGGATATGAAGAGATGCAGAATAGTGACAAAGACAAGGCAAAGGGCCCCCCAGCTGCAGGTAAGTTCATATCGGGTTGTCTCTCACAGTTGATTTGATATTGATTTTCAAAGATCTATTAATCTTTAACGTGACGTCACGTGACCCATGATGACGTCATCGTGACGTCACTTCAATTTTCAGCTATAACATCTCTCAGTCTTGGCACATGCCAACTTTCAACCCCATCGGACCTGTAGTTCAGGAGATATAGGCCTTCAAAATATGTTTATATTATATGATGTCATATGTCACGTGATGATGTCATCATGACGTCAAGTGATTTTTCATCTATAAGACATCCCGGTCTAGGTACATACCAACTTTCAACCAAATCGGACCTGTAATTCTGGAGATATAGCCCAATCTGTCAGATCTAGCCGAATTCTGCTAGAAACTATGGTCTCAACAGAAAAATCGCATATGTCACGTCACGTGACTCATGATGATGTCACGATGACGTCAATGTTCGGCACACAACTTCAGATGCTGGTTCAAGTGTGTGCCAAGTATAAAGGCAATCGGATTGATTTTAGTGTCCAAATGCCGGGGACAAAAAAACATGCACAAATGCTATGGGCAAAATGCCTTCAAAAAGAAAAAAAATAAAGTAAAAAACTAAAATCTTAACGAAAACAAAGGCTGTTTCGGCAAAAGTGCCGAAACAGCCAATGAGTATTGAAGTACACTTTTCATCTAGTTTTGGTGGTTCAGCCTCGTGTCCTCATTGTATCTGACTGACTCACTGACTGTCAGTGAGTCGTGATTGAACCTCACTGTGACCCAAAAGGTCTCTTTGGATCCTAAGGACTCCCACAACATAGACCCCTACAAAACCTAGACCCCTAATTAGAGGGCTTGTACAAGCCTGTTAAAGCTGGTCCGTGTAGTCTTCTGTTATAATAGTTGATGATGCGCAGGCATTTACAGAAAGTGATGACTTAACGAAGAAAGTTGAAATTGCAGGAGCATTTACATTCCTCTGCGTGACTTATTTTATTTCAGCTGCTGAAGAGTCAGGATATGAAGAGATGCAGAATAGTGACAAAGACAAGGCAAAGGGCCCCCCAGCTGCAGGTAAATTCATATCGGGTTGTCTCTCACAGTTGATTTGATATATATTTTCAAAGATCTATTAATCTTTAACGTGACATCACGTGACCCATGATGACGTCATCGTGACGTCACTTCAATTTTCAGCTATAACATCTCTCAGTCTTGGCACATGCCAACTTTCAACCCCATCGGACCTGTAGTTCAGGAGATATAGGCCTTCAAAATATGTTTATATTATATGATGTCATATGTCACGTGATGATGTCATCATGACGTCAAGTGATTTTTCATCTATAAGACATCCCGGTCTAGGTACATATCAACTTTCAACCCAATCGGACCTGTAATTCTGGAGATATAGCCCAATCTGTCAGATCTAGCCGAATTCTGCTAGAAAATATGGTCTCAACAGAAAAATCGCATATAATGTCACGTCACGTGACTCATGATGACGTCACGATGACGTCAATGTTCGGCACACAACTTCAGATGCTGGTTCAAGTGTGTGCCAAGTATAAAGGCAATCGGATTGATTTTAGTGTCAGAATGCCGGGGACAAAAAAACATGCACAAATGCTATGGGCAAAATGCCTTCAAAAAGAAAAAAAATAAAGTAAAAAACTAAAATCTTAACGAAAACAAAGGCTGTTTCGGCAAAAGTGCCGAAACAGCCAATGAGTATTGAAGTACACTTTTCATCTAGTTTTGGTGGTTCAGCCTCGTGTCCTCATTGTATCTGACTGACTCACTGACTGTCAATGAGTCGTGATTGAACCTCACTGTGACCCAAAAGGTCTCTTTGGATCCTAAGGACTCCCACAACATAGACCCCTACAAAACCTAGACCCCTAATTAGAGGGCTTGTACAAGCCTGTTAAAGCTGGTCCGTGTAGTCTTCTGTTATAATAGTTGATGATGCGCAGGCATTTACAGAAAGTGATGACTTAACGAAGAAAGTTGAAATTGCAGGAGCATTTACATTCCTCTGCGTGACTTATTTTATTTCAGCTGCTGAAGAGTCAGGATATGAAGAGATGCAGAATAGTGACAAAGACAAGGCAAAGGGCCCCCCAGCTGCAGGTAAATTCATATCGGGTTGTCTCTCACAGTTGATTTGATATTGATTTTCAAAGATCTATTAATCTTTAACGTGACGTCACGTGACCCATGATGACGTCATCGTGACGTCACTTCAATTTTCAACTATAACATCTCTCAGTCTTGGCACATGCCAACTTTCAACCCCATCGGACCTGTAGTTCAGGAGATATAGGCCTTCAAAATATTTTTATATTATATGATGTCATATGTCACGTGATGATGTCATCATGACGTCAAGTGATTTTTCATCTATAAGACATCCCGGTCTAGGTACATACCAACTTTCAACCCAATCGGACCTGTAATTCTGGAGATATAGCCCAATCTGTCAGATCTAGCCGAATTCTGCTAGAAAATATGGTCTCAACAGAAAAATCGCATATAATGTCACGTCACGTGACTCATGATGACGTCACGATGACGTCAATGTTCGGCACACAACTTCAGATGCTGGTTCAAGTGTGTGCCAAGTATAAAGGCAATCGGATTGATTTTAGTGTCCAAATGCCGGGGACAAAAAAACATGCACAAATGCTATGGGCAAAATGCCTTCAAAAAGAAAAAAAATAAAGTAAAAAACTAAAATCTTAACGAAAACAAAGGCTGTTTCGGCAAAAGTGCCGAAACAGCCAATGAGTATTGAAGTACACTTTTCATCTAGTTTTGGTGGTTCAGCCTCGTGTCCTCATTGTATATGACTGACTCACTGACTGTCAATGAGTCGTGATTGAACCTCACTGTGACCCAAAAGGTCTCTTTGGATCCTAAGGACTCCCACAACATAGACCCCTACAAAACCTAGACCCCTAATTAGAGGGCTTGTACAAGCCTGTTAAAGCTGGTCCGTGTAGTCTTCTGTTATAATAGTTGATGATGCGCAGGCATTTACAGAAAGTGATGACTTAACGAAGAAAGTTGAAATTGCAGGAGCATTTACATTCCTCTGCGTGACTTATTTTATTTCAGCTGCTGAAGAGTCAGGATATGAAGAGATGCAGAATAGTGACAAAGACAAGGCAAAGGGCCCCCCAGCTGCAGGTAAATTCATATCGGGTTGTCTCTCACAGTTGATTTGATATTGATTTTCAAAGATCTATTAATCTTTAACGTGACGTCACGTGACCCATGATGACGTCATCATGACGTCACTTCAATTTTCAACTATAACATCTCTCAGTCTTGGCACATGCCAACTTTCAACCCCATCGGACCTGTAGTTCAGGAGATATAGGCCTTCAAAATATGTTTATATTATATGATGTCATATGTCACGTGATGATGTCATCATGACGTCAAGTGATTTTTCATCTATAAGACATCCCGGTCTAGGTACATACCAACTTTCAACCCAATCGGACCTGTAATTCTGGAGATATAGCCCAATCTGTCAGATCTAGCCGAATTCTGCTAGAAACTATGGTCTCAACAGAAAAATCGCATATGTCACGTCACGTGACTCATGATGACGTCACGATGACGTCAATGTTCGGCACACAACTTCAGATGCTGGTTCAAGTGTGTGCCAAGTATAAAGGCAATCGGATTGATTTTAGTGTCCAAATGCCGGGGACAAAAAAACATGCACAAATGCTATGGGCAAAATGCCTTCAAAAAGAAAAAAAATAAAGTAAAAAACTAAAATCTTAACGAAAACAAAGGCTGTTTCGGCAAAAGTGCCGAAACAGCCAATGAGTATTGAAGTACACTTTTCATCTAGTTTTGGTGGTTCAGCCTCGTGTCCTCATTGTATCTGACTGACTCACTGACTGTCAATGAGTCGTGATTGAACCTCACTGTGACCCAAAAGGTCTCTTTGGATCCTAAGGACTCCCACAACATAGACCCCTACAAAACCTAGACCCCTAATTAGAGGGCTTGTACAAGCCTGTTAAAGCTGGTCCGTGTAGTCTTCTGTTATAATAGTTGATGATGCGCAGGCATTTACAGAAAGTGATGACTTAACGAAGAAAGTTGAAATTGCAGGAGCATTTACATTCCTCTGCGTGACTTATTTTATTTCAGCTGCTGAAGAGTCAGGATATGAAGAGATGCAGAATAGTGACAAAGACAAGGCAAAGGGCCCCCCAGCTGCAGGTAAATTCATATCGGGTTGTCTCTCACAGTTGATTTGATATTGATTTTCAAAGATCTATTAATCTTTAACGTGACGTCACGTGACCCATGATGACGTCATCATGACGTCACTTCAATTTTCAACTATAACATCTCTCAGTCTTGGCACATGCCAACTTTCAACCCCATCGGACCTGTAGTTCAGGAGATATAGGCCTTCAAAATATGTTTATATTATATGATGTCATATGTCACGTGATGATGTCATCATGACGTCAAGTGATTTTTCATCTATAAGACATCCCGGTCTAGGTACATACCAACTTTCAACCCAATCGGACCTGTAATTCTGGAGATATAGCCCAATCTGTCAGATCTAGCCGAATTCTGCTAGAAACTATGGTCTCAACAGAAAAATCGCATATGTCACGTCACGTGACTCATGATGACGTCACGATGACGTCAATGTTCGGCACACAACTTCAGATGCTGGTTCAAGTGTATGCCAAGTATAAAGGCAATCGGATTGATTTTAGTGTCCAAATGCCGGGGACAAAAAAACATGCACAAATGCTATGGGCAAAATGCCTTCAAAAAGAAAAAAAATAAAGTAAAAAACTAAAATCTTAACGAAAACAAAGGCTGTTTCGGCAAAAGTGCCGAAACAGCCAATGAGTATTGAAGTACACTTTTCATCTAGTTTTGGTGGTTCAGCCTCGTGTCCTCATTGTATCTGACTGACTCACTGACTGTCAATGAGTCGTGATTGAACCTCACTGTGACCCAAAAGGTCTCTTTGGATCCTAAGGACTCCCACAACATAGACCCCTACAAAACCTAGACCCCTAATTAGAGGGCTTGTACAAGCCTGTTAAAGCTGGTCCGTGTAGTCTTCTGTTATAATAGTTGATGATGCGCAGGCATTTACAGAAAGTGATGACTTAACGAAGAAAGTTGAAATTGCAGGAGCATTTACATTCCTCTGCGTGACTTATTTTATTTCAGCTGCTGAAGAGTCAGGATATGAAGAGATGCAGAATAGTGACAAAGACAAGGCAAAGGGCCCCCCAGCTGCAGGTAAATTCATATCGGGTTGTCTCTCACAGTTGATTTGATATTGATTTTCAAAGATCTATTAATCTTTAACGTGACGTCACGTGACCCATGATGACGTCATCATGACGTCACTTCAATTTTCAACTATAACATCTCTCAGTCTTGGCACATGCCAACTTTCAACCCCATCGGACCTGTAGTTCAGGAGATATAGGCCTTCAAAATATGTTTATATTATATGATGTCATATGTCACGTGATGATGTCATCATGACGTCAAGTGATTTTTCATCTATAAGACATCCCGGTCTAGGTACATACCAACTTTCAACCCAATCGGACCTGTAATTCTGGAGATATAGCCCAATCTGTCAGATCTAGCCGAATTCTGCTAGAAACTATGGTCTCAACAGAAAAATCGCATATGTCACGTCACGTGACTCATGATGACGTCACGATGACGTCAATGTTCGGCACACAACTTCAGATGCTGGTTCAAGTGTGTGCCAAGTATAAAGGCAATCGGATTGATTTTAGTGTCCAAATGCCGGGGACAAAAAAACATGCACAAATGCTATGGGCAAAATGCCTTCAAAAAGAAAAAAAATAAAGTAAAAAACTAAAATCTTAACGAAAACAAAGGCTGTTTCGGCAAAAGTGCCGAAACAGCCAATGAGTATTGAAGTACACTTTTCATCTAGTTTTGGTGGTTCAGCCTCGTGTCCTCATTGTATCTGACTGACTCACTGACTGTCAATGAGTCGTGATTGAACCTCACTGTGACCCAAAAGGTCTCTTTGGATCCTAAGGACTCCCACAACATAGACCCCTACAAAACCTAGACCCCTAATTAGAGGGCTTGTACAAGCCTGTTAAAGCTGGTCCGTGTAGTCTTCTGTTATAATAGTTGATGATGCGCAGGCATTTACAGAAAGTGATGACTTAACGAAGAAAGTTGAAATTGCAGGAGCATTTACATTCCTCTGCGTGACTTATTTTATTTCAGCTGCTGAAGAGTCAGGATATGAAGAGATGCAGAATAGTGACAAAGACAAGGCAAAGGGCCCCCCAGCTGCAGGTAAATTCATATCGGGTTGTCTCTCACAGTTGATTTGATATTGATTTTCAAAGATCTATTAATCTTTAACGTGACGTCACGTGACCCATGATGACGTCAGCATGACGTCACTTCAATTTTCAACTATAACATCTCTCAGTCTAGGCACATGCCAACTTTCAACCCCATCGGACCTGTAGTTCAGGAGATATAGGCCTTCAAAATATGTTTATATTATATGATGTCATATGTCACGTGATGATGTCATCATGACGTCAAGTGATTTTTCATCTATAAGACATCCCGGTCTAGGTACATACCAACTTTCAACCCAATCGGACCTGTAATTCTGGAGATATAGCCCAATCTGTCAGATCTAGCCGAATTCTGCTAGAAACTATGGTCTCAACAGAAAAATCGCATATGTCACGTCACGTGACTCATGATGACGTCACGATGACGTCAATGTTCGGCACACAACTTCAGATGCTGGTTCAAGTGTGTGCCAAGTATAAAGGCAATCGGATTGATTTTAGTGTCCAAATGCCGGGGACAAAAAAACATGCACAAATGCTATGGGCAAAATGCCTTCAAAAAGAAAAAAAATAAAGTAAAAAACTAAAATCTTAACGAAAACAAAGGCTGTTTCGGCAAAAGTGCCGAAACAGCCAATGAGTATTGAAGTACACTTTTCATCTAGTTTTGGTGGTTCAGTCTCGTGTCCTCATTGTATCTGACTGACTCACTGACTGTCAATGAGTCGTGATTGAACCTCACTCTGACCCAAAAGGTCTCTTTGGATCCTAAGGACTCCCACAACATAGACCCCTACAAAACCTAGACCCCTAATTAGAGGGCTTGTACAAGCCTGTTAAAGCTGGTCCGTGTAGTCTTCTTTTATAATAGTTGATGATGCTCAGGCATTTACAGAAAGTGATGACTTAACAAAGAAAGTTGAAATTGTAGGAGCATTTACATTCCTGTGTGTGACTTATTTTATTTCAGCTGCTGAGGAGTCAGCATATGAAGAGGTGCAGAATAGTGACAAAGACAAGGCAAAGAGCCCCCCAGCTGCAGGTAAATTCATATCAGGTTGTCTCTCACAGTTGATTTGATATATATTTTCAAAGATCTATTAATCTTTAACGTGACGTCACGTGACCCATGATGACGTCATCGTGACGTCACTTCAATTTTCAACTATAACATATCTCAGTCTAGGCACATGCCAACTTTCAACCCCATCGGACCTGTAGTTCAGGAGATATAGGCCTTCAAAATATGTTCATATTATATGATGTCATATGTCACGTGATGATGTCATCATGACGTCAAGTGATTTTTCATCTATAAGACATCCCGGTCTAGGTACATACCATCGCACATTTTGAAGAGTACCTTCTAGTACCCACCGTAAAATGTCATAAATTGGTAATATTTTGAATGACTAAACATTCCTTGTCAATATTAAATCGCGGAAAATTATCGGAAATGTTCCTTTTGGCCGTACAAGACGAATTTCGGAACGGTGTTTTCGACAGAAATTCGAAAGAAATATCGCCTCGTGCGCGAAATAGCGCCCTCTGTTGATATGCATGGTCAGCAAAATCGAGCAATACTTCCCAGTTAGTTTGTACGTCCGCATCGCGTCATGTTTGCATACAGAGAGGAGACTTTTGCGACGAAAGCGAAGTATTTCGTGCATTTACAATAAAGTACGCATATTTACTATCGATTGCATGGATTGTAGGGTAGGTTATTTAAGAAAATTTCGCAAAAACAATGACAGAGAAACGTGGTTTTCGAATTTTTTTTCTTGGACAATCGACACGGGTTGCAATTTATTTTTCGGGCAAAGGAAAACACAGGGGAAAAGTAAAGACCATCTCAGCCAACCAGACGTGTTTTCCCGACCCAGGGAAACCCGATATTCAAGGACTCTGCAACCGACTCCAGACCGGAGCTGTCATTGTGATTTAAACCAGACTTCTTCAGGATTAATTGAAAACAGATATCTTAATATTTCTTAGAATATTTTTGTTGACATCGACGGCCGTCCATTCCTTTTTGTCCTGATGGAATGTGTACCGGAAAGAGGTCAAGACAGAGCAAAACTTTCACAGATCGTGTCGAATATGTCGATAATTCTCCGTCTGGTGTCATCTACAGAATTTGTCAACTCCGAAAATTAGAAACGCTTTGCAAAGACACAAGCAGGATGCTCCTAGAGAAGTTTGCAAGCTTCAGATTTATGTGCTCAGTGCACCAGCTTCTCGCACATAGTGCCGAGTTGGTCACAGCGAACAAAAGCCATGGCCTGGGAACACTTTCCGAAGAGGCGCTTGAAAATAACAAAAAAAAAAACATTCGGAAGTACAGGGAACAGCTATCCAGGAAAACCACACAAGAGGACGATCTAAGTGACGTATTTCATCGTCTTTGGTTAAAAGCAGATCCAGTACTCTGCAAGTTTCCTGTCTATTAGTTTATTATGAAAGGTTTTCAAAGGACGGTAGAAATATCTTGGGGAAAATTGATTACTATTTAAGTAGTATTTTGGGTCACAAACCAACACATAATGTAAAATAATATCACAAAATCACTACCTTAGAACCGTAAATTTGCAACCTGGTATAATCTTTATTTCGTCCAGTAAAACAAAAATTAACGAGAAAAAATATGCGTCAATACCGCGCCGGTAATAAGCCGTATGGACGTGTGAAAAATATTAATGCAGAAATTGTCGCAAGAGGGCGCTATGCATAAGTAGCGCCCTCTTTAGAATTTTTCTCCGGATTTTTGACAAAATTGGCGAGTTACGTTTTATATAATTTCCAACCTAGTTTTCCAAACCCAGAGATGGCTTTTGAACATGCTTCGTGTGTTTTATATGAATTTTGACCGTTTATTATCCTTAAATGTACTGATGTCTGGGTCACATATGGTTTTAAACCACTGTGCTTTGGATCCTAAGGACTCCCACAACATAGACCCCTTCAAAACCTAGACCTAATTAGAGGGTTTGTACAAGCCTGTTAAAGCTGGTCCTTGTAGTCTTCTTTTATAATATTGGATGATGCTCAGGCATTTACAGAAAGTGATGACTTAACAAAGAAAGTTGAAATTGTAGGAGCATTTACAATCCTCTGCGTGACTTATTTTATTTCAGCTGCTGAGGAGTCAGCATATGAAGAGATGCAGATCAGTGACAAAGACAAGACAAAGAGCCCCCCAGCTGCAGGTAAATTCATATCGGGTTGTCTTTTTTTGTGATTATATCTAAAATAAAGTAAAATATTCAGGGTAAGCCGTAAGGATTTTTTTTTGCCGGTATAGCAAAACTTGCATAGCAGTTTACCAAGTTTGCATAGCAGTTTTGTTATACTCAAATTTAGCCTCGGCTTTACAATTACTATTAACCTGTCAGTGTCAGACTGTACAAATTACGAAGCAATAAAGAAGTAACTTACGTTAAGCTGTGAACTAAATGACTCCTCAGTTGTCTGTTTATTTCAGGAGCTGCATGCTTGCTGGAATAACTTTCAAGTGAAAAAGCAAGTTATTAACCCGGGCAATTCCTGGCCCGGGTCTAGATCCGCCTGCCAATTATTGGCAGTATTTGCCTTGATACTGGTAGTTTTCGTAGTAGCCATGTTTTCATCAATATGCTACACAGCGCACAAATAACAACACAGCTGGGATTTTGATGTTTTAGTTCCCACGAATCCCACGTGCGTATCAAGTGATTTACTTGAAGGGGTAAACCCGTTTTTCCGTGTCGGCAAAATGTTTAAGATAAACCGACAAATACCTAAAGAATAGTGATGAGAAAAGGGCTCGATTTACGAGGCGTGCACGGCCCCTAGATACAATTTTCTGAGGTGCCGTATTTTGCATATGGAGTAAAAAAGAATGCTAAGTTCATCGTGCAAATACGTAACGTTATATATATATGGATGAAAATACGTGACTCTAAGCTCGAGTCCGAGTCATCATGGTCGAGTCCAAGTCCGAGTCATTTTCCAATGTGACTCGAGTCGGGCCGAGTCACGAGTCGGGCCGAGTTGTTCGTCAGGGGGGGCCCATATGGAAACGTTGTCTCATCCGCTCAATCTGGCCTGCGTACATAGGTCAAATGAGCATTTTTTTTCATGAAAAAGTGATTTTATATAAAAAGTGCGCTTATTTCCAGCATTTTGCCGCTCGGGAGTCACTTGAATAACTATTCATCAAATCCAAAACCTACAAATAATACCAGTAAGTTCCTCAGTTTCGTCGGAAAAAACCTAGTAAACCTGCATAATGTCGTCGTTTTTGCGTGGGAGAGCTAGCAAAACAGCGAGTTTCCTTGCACATTACTCACTTTCGTGAGCCCTCACTCGTTTCATTGTGATCAGGCTGCTTTGGGCCTAGCGGCTTATGAATATGCAGTATATTAGCTTTCTGGTGATATAAAACATGTGTCTACTTCACTCTACTTACCTGTAGAGCAACACTACTTATGCACATTCCCCCTACCGGCAGGTATTTTCGCTAAGAGTTATATACAATAGCGCCCTCCGGCGCCCTACCCATAACACCCCGCGGCATGCGTGCCTCATGAGCGTCCTCTTTTCTCTTAGCGGCAGGTCGGGTAGGACGTGCGTGAAATAGCTCGCTGTTTGCCTCGTCATTTACTACCCTTTTTTGCGTTTAAGAGAAGTATTTAATAAAAGATTTAGTAATCATTAGTTTGTAGAGTTTTCATCATCTTCTTGGTTTCATTTATTTCATAATTATGAGGCGTTTGGGGAGGGCCGATCTGTCACTAACCGGGGGGAATTCCTCTCCCACGGGACGGACCGAGTCCTCGGGGTACTCTGCCGTTAACGCTACGTCGTTACCGCGGCAGCAGTCTCTCGTCCGACACCCTCAGCCACAGTCGGCTGGGGGGTTGGCAGTTCCGCCGATCAGTTAAGGGGGCCTCGGTCACCTTCTCCGGTCAACTCAGGCGAATCACCCAAACTAAAGGCACACTCCAGCAAGGTTCCTCCAAAACATATCTCCTGTGCCGGAGCAAAGCCTAAGAAGGGCCGTCAGGGCAAGCGTGGCTCGGCAACGAGCGCCGCTGTGGCACCTGGCCCTCCCCCGATCATGGGGCAGCCCGAGGGGGCTAGCCGTCACACTTCGGTGGGCGCTAGTCACCCGTGTCCTCCCGACACAGTGCCGAACACCACTGGTTGTCGGGATGGGCTATTGCGCGGGCTACCGGCCTGTTCAGTGCTCGCTCAGCCCACGGGGCCTGAGGCGCTGTCGGCCGGGTGCATTATGAGCGATATGGAGCCGATCGCCCGGGGGGACCCCGGGCCGACGGCCCCCGTGCCATCTCGCTCAGAGGGACTACCCTCATCATCGGAATTTTTCCATTGTTCGGGGGTCCCGGTGTCCCAGGTGTCCTCCGATTTTTCCTCGGACACACCTCGGGGCCGTTCTTCTAAGAAGAAGAAGGAGTAAGAAGAAGGCTACACGTCGATCACGCCGTTCTTCTTCGGAGTCGGACGACTCCTCTGACCGGTCCCGCCGGGGCAAACGCTCCCGGGGGGAGGACGCGGTTTCCAGAGCAGATTTCCTGCAGGCTTTCCAGTCGATTTCTGATACGCTATCGGCTATGTCTGCAGGCCGCCGGGCGGGCCCCATTGGGGGGCCCCCTGCAGCGATGGACTACGGCCCACAGCCATCGGTTGTTGGGCCCACATCGCAGTCTTCAGTCACCGGTCACGCTTGGGTGGCCCGGGAACAAAGGGACATACCGCACACAATTAGTCGTGCTCCCGCGTCCCCGCCTGCGGTGAGAGCTTCACAGCCGTCGTTCGTTGGCCACGGTTGGGTGGCCCAGGCACAACGGGATATACCACACGTGGTTGACCGTACACCGGAGGCCCGGCCTGCAGCGAGTGTCTCGCATGCATCGGCCGTGAGCCACAGTTGGGTGGATCAGAGGCCACGGGATCTACCGTGTACGCTGGGATCCCCGCCTGTATTGAGCATTCATCCATCCATGCAGTATGACTCTGAGGAAGTTGTCCAGCCGCTAGCGCGTGGCTCGGTACAACTCGCCCCTCCAGACGACGTTCGTTCACCGGAGTCAACTCGGCCCTCACAATCGGCTGAGTCATCCGATGACGACGAGGAAGCAGACCGATTACAACGGCTGTCTATCTCTGAAAGGGAGCTCCGTTTAGTACAGATGGATATGATAAGAGTACTTCATCTACCCTCCGCTGATGAGCCCCCTCCGCCCGATCATAAATCTTTCAAGCGAAGGACGGGCTCCACATCTAGCAGCGATAAAATATTCCCCATACTTCCTTTAGATCAAGTATGCGTGGAACATATCAACAACATCATGTCAACGGATAAATGGCGTTCGTTTCTCAGACGGGAACGAGATTATTTTCGTTTCCCAGCTGAAGATTTTGCGAAGTTTTTCACTCCGCCTACTCTCCCTGACGCAGCAAAAGATTAACTTGCGGTAGATGAGAGTGGTTCGTCTTCCAAGCAACCCTTTGCAGACAAATCCCGTTGTAAACTTGAAGACGTTTTGAAGAAGATAGACACAGCTTCACGTTTTGGCTCGCGGTCAACGTCTTTCTTACTTCTTCTTACGGAATATTTAGCCGTGGGCTATGAAGAGGACTCGCCGATTCCAGCGGATATGCTGACTGCGGCCCTTCATTGCCTTGACCATGGTCTACGCTCAGTGCTTGATCAATTCGCACGAGTGTCGGCCCTATCAACGTCCACCCGCCGGGGTAACGTGCTCGATGCACTGTTCGTCCCGTCGCAGGGTGCTCGAAAAAGACTTGAAGATCTCCCCCTGACGGGCACGGATCTATTTGACGGGAAATTCGAAGATCAGATGCGAGATGAGGCCAAACGTCTGAAGGCTACGGAGAAAATCAACTTCAAGAAGCCTCCAGCACCGGCGTCCAAACAACAGCGTGGTAAGGGCAAAACATTTGTCATTCCCCGCCGCAAACCTCTGAAATCTGGTCGCGGTGGTTTTCGTGGCCGCACGGACAATTCTTCCGGTGCGCGCGCCACGCAGGCCCGCACGTTCTCTGGACAACAACGGCTCCAATCCGGTCGTGGTTTCCGGGCACCGGCCCCCCGCTATCCCGGGGGCTGGCGCAAGTGACTTAGTAGACTCGTGGCGGCCTTCCGCCGTCGGACCCGTGGGAGGCCGTCTCCGAGACTTTGCGGGGTCCTGGGGTTTAATTACGTCCGACCGGTGGGTGCTCGATACGATCGGGTGCGGCTATGCACTCGAGTTCTCGAGCACCCCCCCCCCCGTCGGACATGGTCGTTCGACCGACGGTAGTTCCATCCGATCCTACCAAACGTCTCTCCCTCGAAGGGGAGATCAGTTCCCTCCTCGGGAAACGGGCAATTCGCCCGCTCCCTCCGGGGGAGACGCGGTCGGGCTTCATGTCGACCTTCTTTCTGGTACCCAAGAAGGAGGCCGGCATGTGGCGCCCGATTTTAAATCTAAAACCCCTCAACAAATTTATTCGGCCAAGACGTTTTCGCATGGATACGCTCAACATCATACTCCAATCGATTCGTACACCTGCATGGGGAGCCAGTCTAGATCTGAAAGATGCGTATCTACACATTCCTGTCAGACCAGACCACTGGAAGTTTCTTCGTTTTCAGTACGAGAACGTCCAGTACGAGTTCATGGTTCTTCCGTTTGGTCTAGCCACCTCACCCCGAGTCTTCACGCGTGTGGTGAAGACAATCAGGGCCGCATTAAGAAAACAAGGTGTGATGATCTTCATGTATCTGGACGATTGGATCATTCTTGCTCAATCTCAGACGGCCGCGTCGGCGGCACTCAATCTGACTTGGCGTCTAGCGGCGGATCTCGGGTTTATTATCAACGCCGAAAAATCCCATCCACATCCATCCCAATTCCCAATCTTTCTGGGAGCGTCTCTCGATCTCCAGAAGGGATTGGTTCGGCCTACGGAGGAATGAGTTGTAAATCTCCAACAGTGTGTGTCTCTGTTTCTCCCGGCGATCATGGCCCCAGCACAAGCCTGGCTAAGGTTGCTCGGTCTCATGGCCAGTATGGTAGATGTGGTGAACTTTTGCAGACTAAGGATGCGTCCCATCCAGTTACATCTGCTGTCCTTCTATCGGCCCAGTCGTCACCACATACGTCATCTGGTGCCGACCACACCTTGGCTGATACCGCACCTCCGTTGGTGGCTCGACAATACCAATCTCATGGAGGGGCGCGCATTCCACAATCCCAAGCCGTCAGTGACCATCACGACAGATGCGTCACTTTTTAGTTGGGGGGCCACCCTCCACCCGCGCCAAGTAGCGGGTCGGTGGGGGCCCAAAGATTGCTCAAGACACATAAACGTGCTGGAGATGTTGGCAGTCATCAATGCTCTCCAACGTTTTCAAGCATCAGTGACGAACCAGGTAGTCAACATTCGTTGCGACAATGCCACAGTAGTGGCCTACATCAATAGACAGGGAGGCACGCGATCCGCCCAACTATGCACGCTCACGTGGAATCTCTTCCACTGGTGTATGGACCACGGAGTAACACTCGTGGCAACTCATCTCCCAGGCGAGGAGAACGTCACAGCCGACGCTCTCTCCAGGGGGTGGGTCGTTCCGACGGAATGGACACTGCGTCCGCAGGTTGTCCAATCACTTTTTCTGTTGATCGATCGGCCTCATGTCGACCTGTTTGCCTCTCGAAACAACCACCAGTTACCGGTATACTGCGCAAGACACAACGACCCTTGCGCATGGCAGACAGACGCACTGGCAATACGGTGGGACAGACTACTTGCGTACGCCTTTCCCCCGTTCTCCCTCATACCGCGAGTACTGACCAAAGTGGAACAGGAGGAGTGCAAGATCCTCCTCATAGCTCCCTTTTGGCCACGCCAGCCTTGGTTCCCGAGACTCATCAAGCTCTTGGTTCACCGCCCGGTGATTCTTCCGAAGAGGGCAGACATACTGTTCCAGCCCAGCTCGGGTTTTCTTCACCCGGCCCCGGAGGATCTCCACCTGACGTGCTGGGTATTATCAAGCAATCCTTCCGCACGGCGGGCCTTTCTGAACGAGCTGCGGCCATTGCAGCCTGCAGCCGGCGGGAGTCTACCAGGAAAATTTATAGCAGTAGATTACACCATTTTTACAAATGGTGTAGAGCCAGGTCTCTGCGTCCCTCCGATACTTCTATAGGAGAGATTGCAGACTTCCTAGTAGGCCTCTTTAACAGTGATCTTGCTACAGCCACAGTTAAGAATTATCGTTCGGCTATAGCGGCTATTCATGGAGGTTTCTCTGACGGTTCCTCGGTGTCAGATAATCAGAATCTTAGCCAACTTATCAAGGGGATGTTTGTGTCACGCCCCCCCGACACGTAGGCTATTACCATCGTGGGATCTCTTTGCCGTCTTATCAACCTTATCGAGACCCCCGTTTGAACCAATGGGCAGCTCAACCTTGTTGCAGCTGTCGGTTAAAGTGTCATTTCTATTAGCAGTGGCTACGTCTAGACGACGTAGCGAGCTGCATTCGCTTACGGTGGAGACAGGTCATATCCGGTGGGAACCAGGGGGTGTTCGCCTGGTTCCTAAAACAGGTTTTCTGACCAAAAATCAGTCAGAATCATTTTCACCTCCTGACATTTTTGTGCCGGACATCAAATCCTTTTCGTCTGTCTCTGGTGACAGACTTTGGTGTCCGGTCAGGGCCCTGAAGTGGTACGTTAATAGAACTAAAACGCTCCGAAGCGACCATCACAGCTGTTTATAACAACGACTCCACCATACCGACCGGCCTCGCGTGATACAATTTCCCGCTGGTTGGTTACGGCCATCAAATCAGCGATAGACTCACCAACAACAGATTCCGTTGGGTCAGTCCATGCACATGAGGTCAGGGCAACTTCTACTTCCTGGGCCTTTTTTAAGGGTGTTTCTATTAAAGATATCACACAGGCAGCGTGTTGGAAAACCCCCAAAACCTTTACAGAGTGCTATTTGAAGGATGTCCTCCAGACGGAAGGCAGAGCCGGGAGAGTGGTGCTGAAGGCGGCGAGCCGAGCATCATCAGGTCGACAGGATCCTCTCCTACCCGGGACTTCCCTAGAATAGGTGAGTCTCCTCATCCTGGCTATTTACATTATACATTACAATGTATTGAATATAAATGTATAGCTAAACACTCTTGTAATAAGGTCATTGGTCTTGGACAAGTTACCTTCTTTGTTTACAGTTTACCTTGTGCATGGGCTTGGTTTGAAGTGTTTTAGAACTTGCTTTAAGAAGTGTCGTGTACTAACAGTACTCTTCTTTGCAGGATTCAACTGTATTATATATTATATTTATTATTATATAATACTTTACATTATGAGACGTTCCCCCTAACGAGGGCTGACGTCTCGATTAACATGTGAGGGTAATTAATATCCTTTACATGTACAGTTCTTGGTTTTTTCCCCTGTCCGCCTTTGGATGGAACAGTGGGAGCCATCTGGGGTTACATTCCATGTTTCATGCTCCTGTGAGTAAGCAATAGCATCTCGCATGGCCTACCTCCTTGACGGGGCTAGTCTATGCATAAGTAGTGTTGCTCTACAGGTAAGTAGAGTGAAGTAGACTCCCCCCCCCCCCCCCACAGAAGTGTGGTTGGGATCTACGAACGAATACTTACCTCCCTCCTACCCCACTCTTCTCGATGCCTTGGGTACTTTGTTGTATTCCGACTTAGCGCTCGAGAAAAGAGGACGCTCACGAGGCACGCATGCCGCGGGGTGTTATGGGTAGGGCGCCGGAGGGCGCTATTGTATATAACACCTGCCGGTAGGGGGAATATGCATAAGTAGTGTTGCTCTACAGGTAAGTATTCGTTCGTTTACCCCAACCACACTTCTGTGGGGGGGGATTTGATTGGTTGAATAATTTTGTCGGAACGAAGCTTTGGAGAGGATTGACTATTCACATCTAGTGTCTGAAATGACCTTTCATCTACAGGTCCCGGATGACACAAGCACGCAAAACCGCATTTGTGACGTCATCAATTATTACTCATCGTCTTTCATCATCAAATGTTACAATTCTACGACGTTTGGTATAGATTTTATTTATTAGTAATATGTAGGACTATTTTTGCAATCTATCAGTCAAGTTTTACGTTTAATTTAAAGTATTGTTTTGAAATTAAAACCTTTTTTCTGTCGTCTTGACTAGATCGTACCATTAAAGTTGTAGGGGTTAAGTATTATTCCGACAGGCCGCGCCAAATTTAATTTAGCCTTCGCCGGACGTCAGTGATCTCGCGTTGATTTCAAGAATATCCTGTCTTCTGTTTCAGTAAATGTCATTACAAACATTATCAGAAATGAGGTAAGTGTCTATTTTTTCTATGTATTGTTTAGTAGAAAACCTGCTTAAAACTGAGAGATTTAACCGAGATTTGTCGTGAATATCGTTGGGCGTAAGTGACGAAGATGTGATACAATCATGCCAATGGCATCGAGAGTCCATCCATTCCCAACACACGGATTTTCTCGTCGTGCAAAGTAGAATTATTTCCCTACAAGTTGTTGTATTTACATTGACTATGCCAGTCCCCTCATATTGTGCCACTGTTTATTTACCCATTCCCACAATGGAAGTACCCTGCAGTGGAGGTCAGCGGCGCGTGACCCTGTGCACACATAGCTCCCGTGGAGGTCACACAGCGGTCATGTGGGCAACTTCTATTATGAGACAAATCCGGGAAAACGTTTCCATATGCCGGCCCCCATGGCCCCCACTTGGCGACGGGCCTGTCCCGCCCCCAACCCCTTAATGAACCACCAATAAGCTTCAGGTGCTAAAAGTAACACCTAAGAAGTTGTAAACCAGTGGTCTCCCCAAACTCTCCCTTTCTTACCGTTCAGGGGGGTACTTGTGCGTGGAGTCCATACTAGCAGTGTAGGATCAGAAAAACTCCACTGTGTCTGTTATGGTATTCTGGGGGTCGCAGGTTCACATCCCATTGCAGTCAATTTCATCATCCAGTCAGACTAATCTGTTATTATTTCATTTCTATCAACGCCCTTGCATAGGCGCATGTGTAGTTCCAAACATGGCCTAGTAAAGAGGACGAGAATTCAATATTGGGTTTTGCCGTCCACCGACATTTGATATACACCGTTTACTCAGTGTTGTCCCCAGTAATTGTGAGTTATCACCCACGTTAATCACTTAAGTGATCGGAACAATACTGAGTGTACGGTTTTTACTGAAATACTTACTTTTTTAAAGGGCAGAATTCGATAGTGATGCAAATTCCATCTTATGACGTAGCCTGAGGCCACCAACCAAGCCCACCTACGATTCTAATATTATTGATATTCCATTTGTTTGTTTTAACATCAGATGACTACACAGCAATGAAGAAACCCAAGAAATATGTTCCTCCATCATCCAGAGGTACAGATGACAATTTATGAATTTTAAGACCGGCTTTAAACATGTTTTCCAAGAATTGGTTTTTGCTAGCCCAGAGGACCAGTCTAGAGGACCAGTTCAGTCTTTTTAACTAATTCCAACTGAAGCTAAGCATTGTGTGTGTAATTTAGACCAGCAGCCGATTTCAGGAAAAAGTGCGTAGTTTGTGCCATGCGTAAGACTTGCAGAGCAAAGATGTTGTGCAGCTGTGCATTCAACTTACCAAATTTGGCATATAGCGGCCCATTGTTTTAAATAATCTAAACATAAAATATCAAATTCTTGTATAGTGCCAAATCCGTCAAAATTGACGCTCAAGGCGCTTCACATCAATAAAAATGAACCAGTTAAAATTTAAGAACAAACTAAAACTTATACAAGAAAAACCTTTAAAATAACTAGGTGAACAATTGAAATAAGTTGTCTAAAACAGGCAGGTAAAGACGGACAGACACAGTAAAGCAACAGTGAGACGGCCACGATAAACACACTTAGAAAAGACTTACACAAACAGTGGGAAACACACACAAAACGGACAGATAACAGAATAACCATAGACAAGACACACAGTGGTTGAATCACCCCAGCCCGCCATTCTGAAAATTATTTTTTCGGACTTTCTTTGGAATGGTGCAGCAACTCAAAAATTTTGTCACTAGTAAAATAGAAATTCAGTAACCTCAAACAAGAAGCTGTGAGTGTCTTGTATCAATCTTGATAAGTTGTGCAATAACAGGCTCCACGACGCTTACGATTTGCTGGTAAAATAGGTCATGTTCAGTTGTACGCCACAACTTACGCCACCTACATGTAAGTTGATTGCACAAGTTACGCCATAATATATTGCGCAAGTAGCAGACTTATGCACTGTGAGACTTTCTTGAAATGTGTCATAAGTACAATGTTGCACAACGTGAAATGTTGCGCAGCTAACGCAATAGATTGTGGTGCAAGCAGAGTTGCGCAATTGCTACTGGAGTTAACCTGAACAATAAGGCCACGACAATAATGAACTAACTAGACTTATGTTTGTGGACAAACACAGGGCTGTTTCGGTATTTTTTTGTGACATGTGACATGTAAAGTTTCAAGTATAAGTTCCATCCAGGAAGGATGTGTAGTTCTGTTGATAATAACTGGTAAGTGTAATATATGATTACATTCTCATAGGGCTTTGAATTTTGATGTTACATGTGATGTGATGACCTCATGATGACGTCACATCAATTTTCATCTATAACTATGTTTTTGTTTGTAAAGAACAACTTAGCCATAGCATATATCGTTGAAAGCAAGTTCACATCTTTCCTCAATTTCAAATTACAAGACACTTCCGGTTTCAACCAGAAGGAAAGGTCACATGATTTGCACATAATATATACAATGAAGACCCTGGATTATTCTATCGATTCCCGCAAACGTTAAGTTCAGGTCTCTCACAGTTGATTTTATATTGATTTTCAAAGATCTATTAATCTTTAACGTGACGTCATGTGACCCATGATGACGTCATCGTGACGTCACTTCAATTTTCAACTATAACATATCTCAGTCTAGGCACATGCCAACTTTCAACCCCATCGGACCTGTAGTTCAGGAGATATAGGCCTTCAAAATATGTTTATATTATATGATGTCATATGTCACGTGATGACGTCATCATGACGTCAAGTGTTTTTTCATCTATAAGACATCCCGGTCAAGGTACATACCAACTTTCAACCCAATCGGACCTGTAATTCTGGAGATATAGCCCAATCTGTCAGATCTAGCCGAATTCTGCTAGAAAATGGTCACAACAGAAAAATTGCATATAATGTCATGTCACGTGACTCATGGTGACGTCACGATGACGTCAATGTTCGGCACACAACTTCAGGTGCTGGTTCAAGTGTGTGCCAAGTATAAAGGCAATCGGATTGATTTTAGTGTCCAAAGTGCCGGGGACAAAAAAACGTGCACAAATGCTATGGGCAAAATGCCTTCAAAAAGAAAAAAAACTAGATATATGTTTGTGGACAAACATAGGGCTGTTTCGGTAGCTTTTTGTGACATGTGACATGTGTTCCATCAACGAAGGATGTGTAGTTCTGTTTATAATAAATGGTGACATATAATATGTGATTCCATTCTCATAGGGCTTTGAATTATGACGTCACATGTTACGTGATGATGTCATGATGACGTCACATAAAGTTTCATCTATAATATTATGGTAAAGAACAACTAAGCCAGAGCAAACATCGTTGAAAGCAAGTGAAAAAGAAAAAAAAAAGAAAAAAATAATAAAAAAAATCTTAACGAAAACAAAGGCTGTTTCGGCAAAAGTGCCGAAACAGCCAATAAAGTAAAAAACAAAAACCACTTAACGAAAACAAAGGCTGTTTCAGCAAAAGTGCCAAAACAGCCAATGAGTATTGAAGTACACTTTTAATCTAGTTTTGGTGGTTCAGCCTCGTGTCCTCATTGTATCTGACTGACTCACTGACTGTCAATGAGTCGTGATTGAACCTCACTGTGACCCAAAAGGTCTCTTTGGATCCTAAGGACTCCCACAACATAGACCCCTACAAAACCTATGCCCCCTTATTAGAGGGCTTGTACAAGCCTGTTAAAGCTGGTCCGTGTAGTCTTCTTTTATAATAGTTGATGATGCTCAGGCATTTACAGAAAGTGATGACTTAATAAAGAAAGTTGAAATTGTAGGAGCATTTACATTCCTCTGCATGACTTATTTTATTTCAGCTGCTGAGGAGTCAGCATATGAAGAGATGCAGATCAGTGACAAAGACAAGGCAAAGAGCCCCCCAGCTGCAGGTAAATTCATATCGGGTTGTCTTTTTTTGTGATTATATCTAAAATAAAGTAAAATATTCAGGGTAAGCCTTAAGGAATTTTTATTGTATATCAAAACTTCTATGCAAATTTTGATTTGCATAGCAGTTTACCAAGTTTGCATAGCAGTTTTGTTATACTCAAATTTAGCCTTGGCTTTGCAATTACTATTTACCTGTCAGTGTCAGACTGTACAAATTACAAAGCAATAAAGAAGTAACTTACGTTAAGCTGTGAACTTAATGACTCATTAGTTGTCTGTTTATTTCAGGAGCTGCATGCTTGCTGGAATAACTTTCAAGTGAAAAAGCAAGTTATTAACCAGGGCCATTCCTGGCCCGGGTCTAGATCCGCCTGCCAGTTATTGGCAGTATTTGCCTTGATACCGGTAGTTTTCGTAATAGCCATGTTTTCATTAATATGCCATGTTTTCATTAATATGCTACACAGCGCACAAACGACAACATAGCTGCGCACAAACGACAACATAGCTGGGATTTTGACGTTTTAGTTCCCACGAATCCCACGTGCGTATCAAGTGATTTACTTGAAGGGGTAAACCCGTTTTTCCGTGTCAGCAAAATGTTTAAGATAAACCGACAAATATCTAAAGAATAGTGATGAGAAAAGGGCTTGTTTGTTGTTTGTTGTTGTTTGAATTAGAGTCTTTGCTTGGACAAAAATTGGAACAAATGAATTACTGGCAAAGAGTCCAAAATGCCCTTTGAAAATCGAAAAAAAAAATTAATTTCTGTGTACAAAGTCTATGGGAAAAATTAAATATTCAAAATTCTATAATAAATTAGTCGATGACGTCACCATGACGTCAATGTTCGGCACACAACTCCAGATGCTGGTCTAAGTTTGTGCCGAGTATAAAGGCAATCGGATTGATTTTAGTGCCCAAAGTGCCGGGGCAAAAAATACGTGTACAAATGCAATGGGCAAATGACTGAAAAAGAAAAAGAAAAAAAAAGAAAAATAATAAAAAAATTCTTAACAAAAACAAAGGCTGTTTCGGCAAAAGTGCCGAAACAGCCAAAAAAAAATCTTAACGAAAACAAAGGCTGTTTCAGCCCAAGTGCCGAAACAGCCAATGAGTATTGAAGTACACTTTTAATCTAGTTTTGGTGGTTCAGCCTCGTGTCCTCATTGTATCTGACTGACTCACCGACTGTCAATGAGTCGTGATTGAACCTCACTGTGACCCAAAAGGTCTCTTTGGATCCTAAGGACTCCCACAACATAGACCCCTACAAAACCTAGACCCCTAATTAGAGGGCTTGTACAAGCCTGTTAAAGCTGGTCCGTGTAGTCTTCTTTTATAATAGTTGATGATGCTCAGGCATTTACAGAAAGTGATGACTTAACAGAGAAAGTTGAAATTGTAGGAGCATTTACATTCCTCTGCGTGACTTATTTTATTTCAGCTGCTGAGGAGTCAGCATATGAAGAGGTGCCGATCAGTGACAAAGACAAGACAAAGAGCCCCCCAGCTGCAGGTAAATTCATATCGGGTTGTCTTTTTTTGTGATTATATCTAGTAAAATATTAATGACATGAAGGTTCTTTTGCTGAGGATCAGTCATAATATAGTTGATTCTTGTACACCTGCACTGACGGAAAATTTCTATCACAGCTTTCGGCAACCGTCCGAATGCCTTTCTCAATGTTTTTCAGTGTTGTAGTCGAGTCACCAACGTCGAGTCTGAGTCGTAAGTCACAAGCCCCAAGTTCGAGTCACGAATCTGAGTCCGGAGTCACTTGTTCCACCCTAGTATTAGCATTGCCGTAAGCAGACACTTTTTGGTACCAGACACTTTTTGGTATGATACTCTGCCCTGGTGCTCGTCGTGCAGGCACTGTGTGCGTGCACGGCCCCTAGATACAATTTTCCGAGGTGCTGTGTTTTGCCTATGGAGTAAAAAAGAATGCTAAGTTCATCGTGCAAATACGTAACGTTATATATATATTGATGAAAATACGTGACTCTAAGCTCGAGTCCGAGTCATCATGGTCGAGTCCAAGTCCGAGTCATTTTCCAATGTGACTCGAGTCGGGCCGAGTCACGAAAAATGTGACTTGAGTCCGAGTCCTGAACTCAAGTCCTACAACACTGATGTACGTGACGCTACTGTCCTGTCTCTGTTTGATTACGAGACCGTAAGATTGCCTCGAAAACTGCCGCTATCCAAAAAGTAGCCGACCACATTATTGTGAAAATGCTTACTTGGTGTAAAGATAGTAAATGGTAATAAACTCCTTGTGAAATTATTCCTTCTGTCATGCTGTCATTTTGAAGAAATCAATGAAAGAAGGTCATTTCCCAATATGTGTCAAGTGACACATTTTTTCAAATTTCTGTGAATCTGCTTTTGTAGTTGGTTTGCAATTGGGCGAATCTGTGACAACCAACTGAATGGCAAGCATGTCCTGAATGCAGATTTGGGATTGTGTCATGAGATGGTGTATATGTTTGTTCCGTTTTCTCGAAATACACAGCATTTCACAGAGCCAAAACTTCATCAGGTTAGCTATTAAGCATCCATCTTTAGATTTTGGGCACATTTGTTCTAAAATGCAAAAATTACTAATGGCTTACTCTACCTTTCATGAACATTTTTCATTTTGATCATTTAGACTCTGCTGACACATATGCAAGTGTTGGGGGGCAACAGGACACAAGTGGACGAGTGGTAAGTCTTCTTTGCTTTTTACTACAAATAGAAAACAAATAATTGTTGCAGGACAAAGTATTGGGGAAAATGGGGACCAGCAACATACTGGTAGGATTGGCTGGATAGCTCAGTTGGCACAGTTTTGGAATCAACTGCGTATTAAGTGGAGGGGGCACGCTCCCTCATAAAAAATATTGCCCCCCCCCCTGAAAATTTGTTAGTCACCTACTGCCCGATACTATATTTGAAGAGCGCCCACATAAAAAGATGATGACTTCCTCCAGCCCCCCCCCCCACTTTTTAATTTTACAAAGGCTTGGTAATAGGTGAAACTCCCCCCCCCCCGACCATTGTAGCATCCAGTAGCCCCACCCAGCCCCTATGATAAGAATGCTGGCTACTGTATTCTGCAGGGCACAGGTTCAAGAGCCCTGATATATTTCTTTGTTCTGTGTTAAAAAATTTATTGATTGATCATGAATGACATTACAGAACATTAAAGTATCTAAGAGACATCTCGTCCCTTTTTAAAATTGTACTTTTTTCTTAGTATTGCAGCAACTGCCCCTTTCAACAATTGTTAGACAGAAAAAAATCAGACTTTTTCTTAAAAATCCCCGTTTTGGCTCCCTCCTTTTTTTTTACCCAAAACTTAAAAATACAAAGGCCATTTTCGCTGACAATGAGTTTGTCTCCATTTTGTCAGTTTGCTTAATACAGTCGTTAGTTTCAATGCTTGATATGTCATTATTTAACCTTGTCAATGGCACTGTTTAGCAAATATCTACAGAGAGCTTCGGTTTTAATAATGTCAGTAAACAGAGAAACAATTCTAGAAGCGGATTTCTGACTTTACTTAGTGATAAAGTGCAAAGTCTGTCTGATTACAGAAGATAAATGTTGTGTAGAATCCGTGTGAAATATACAGATGGATTGGATAGTGTCAAAATAAGGGAATAAATGTATGCTCTGGAGGTTTTTATCACTCTGTTTAAGACCACTTAGAGTCTGGGTGCTGATAATTACCCAAACCAATTTAATTTTAAAGTATGAAAAAAAAATGGTTTATATTATACCTTTAAAATCTTGGCAAGGAATAAGGGAATAAATGTGTGCTTCGGAGGTAATTATCAGCACCCAGACTCTAAGTGGTCTTAAACAGAGTGATAAATACCGACGGAGCACATATTTACTCCCGTTCATAAATACCTTTTCGGTAAGAAAAAATCATATAATTCGTTCAAAACATCCCGATTTTGTTCAACAAATTCACTTTATGCTTTTTGAAACATCCCTCTTGCAAAATAATGGATTGTTCAGCTGGCGAGTAAGATGTAAACAACCCTTTTATGGAGATTGACGCGCGCGTATCATGTTCTGCGCGATGTCGCGCAGAACGCACCTGGCGCGTTGCGTTTTGAATTTAGAACTATAAAATTCTGACTCCCTGGTAGTGTTGCGCATGCCTACGTGAGGATTGTGAACGTTCAACCAATGAAACGATAAGAGGCACTGGATTTTTAGGAGTCCACATTTTATTGTGACACTGGAAAAGTGTTTAAGACCAGCTAGCCATGTCTTTATCATCCGTTTAAGACCGGCCACGTGACGGGCTCTCGACCAATAGGAATGCGTAAACTGTCTTAGGTATTTATGAATGTTTATTTACAGCTTGTCCAGATGTTGAAAATTAGACACGTTTTATAGGCTAAATCATTTTTTTTTTCAAAGAAGGTTTTTGTGGTTAAACATTTTCTTCATCCTTCTAGAATGTGATCATTTGGTTCAAGGAAAGATTTGGTTTATCATGAGATAAACCGTAACGATAAACTATTAGTACAAAACATAGGTGACATGTTTCACAATCATGTGTTCACTCTCTACTCATATCTATGAGACTTTGTGACAACATTTTCTACGGTTAACTGGGTGGAACTCGAACCAACGACCCCCTGATTACTAGTACAGGTATCTTGTGATTCACTATTAAATGTACAACTTTAGTATGATGTACATATACTGATCACATAAAGGTATAACATGTATAAGGCTGCATCCGAATCAGCTGTCTACAGCTAGGTCTAGGTCTGCACCTATTGAAAATACGCCGGGACGCGCTGACAATAGACGCAGCCGTAGCTCTAGCTCTGGAAACCTGTTTCGGACACGGCCTAACATTGCATTAAGGCTTGCTCATAATTAATGTGAATGTCAGGAACATTGGACGTCACACAAATTTGCAGTAAAATTTGCAAGAATTGGAATGTTTTCAACAAGTGCGAATTTGCAGCATATACATGCAAGGATTATCATTATATTAGTTATCACCCAAGTGCAAGTGGAAAAATGTATTGCGTCCGTGTCCCATATTCCACGAGGCCAAAGGCTTAGGGACAAATGGAACACAGACACACCACATTTCCGTGAGTTTGTTACTGTATTCAATAGGGGACGTTGAACAATAGAGGACAATTTTCTTCAAGTAAATTTGATGCACAATAAAACCCTTCTCACGCCGCGTTTTCAGGGTTTTATTGTGTTAAAGGTCGTCATCTCACGCCGCGTTTTCAGGGTTTTATTGTTTTAAAGGTCGTCATCTCACGCTGCATTTTCAGGGTTTTATTGTTTTAAAGGTCGTCTTCTCACGCCGTGTTTTCAGGGTTTTATTGTGTTAAAGGTCGTCTTCTCACGCTGCATTTTCAGGGTTATATTGTTTTAAAGGTCGTCTTCTCACGCCATGTTTTCAGGGTTTTATTGTGTTAAAGGTCGTCTTCTCACGCCGCGTTTTCAGGGTTTAATTGTTTTTTGCTGAAGAACTCGCCAACAATAATACTGATGCATGGGTATCAGATCTTCATATCTTCAAACATTATACCAAATGGCAGTCTAAATACTACATGAAAACATGATTCATGCTTTAGTCATTAAGGTTGTCAACCCAAAGATTTAGTTTTGCAACTTACTTCCTCATGGCAAGGTGCATGAACCAGAAAAAAAATAAGGAAATTCTGTCATTTTGTTTGTAATTTATAAGCACGTAATGAATTTCAAGTGATTTTGGCTAAAGTCCACGCATAACAGTCCAAAACAAAACACTTGACATGCTTGACGGAACTATAACCCGGATGTGTCAACTTTACCCCACTTGCCTCTCTCCACCCAGGAGCATAAATGGTACGTGCATTAGCTGGGGAGTAACCTGCGATGGACTGGCATCCCATCCAGGGGGAACAGTTCTCTGTCGTTTCGTCCGGAGATAAACTCCTGCCTGATGGGCCATATATTTTGCTCCTGACAGACTTTACTTCACACTAGTATATATGTAGATAAAATTGACCAGCACTTGTATTGCATTGTGTTACATACAGTATAATATTCCCTGACAAATCGATGTCTGATAAGTGCTGGGCAGTTTTGGGCGGGACTGGGAGTAACAGGCAGGGCAGTTTTGATTTGTCGATCTATGGCAACAACAGTGTGATAAGCCTAAGACCACGGTCCTATACTTAATACCACGATCCATGTCACACTCCACATATCCTGCTATTGTAAGATGCGTATGCTATTCCTGCGGCATGCACGTGAACGATAACTGCTGACAAGTGTGTGCACAGCGTGCTTGTTCCATCGTAACTCTGCATCAAATTTACTTGAAGAAAATTGCTTTACCCATTTGCACCCACACAAGTGTGTATTTGCCTGCAATTGGGTCCCTCTATTGTCCCCCTTTTGGTTGTGTTTTTAACTTTTTAGGAAGACCTCCCATATGTTTTCTACACATTGCCAAATTGGGGACCTTCGGGAATTGGGGACCCTATTGTCCTCTATTGTTCAACGTCCCCTATTGAATGCAGTAACAAACTCACGGAAATGTGGTGTGTCTGTGTTCCATTTGTCCCTAAGCCTTTGGCCTAGTGGAATATGGGACACGGACGCAATACATTTTTCCACTCGCACTTGGGTGATAACTAATATAATGATAATCCTTTCTTGTAATCTATTTTCCCAGGTGACCGAGGACGGCTTGATCTATGCTGAGGTGGGTCATATGAAGCAACATCCTGACGATGACTAGAGCAGGCTAGTCGAAACATTGAGACCAAAGACAAGTTCTTTTAGAACTTACAGCAGGACTATTCTAAACAGAACAAAAACTACTTAGCAAGTTGATAATAAGCAGGAAAAGTTCTTCTCAGAACTAATATCTTCTACCCCACCATGCAAAGCCTCAAATCTTATAACATCCTGTAGATCAACCACCCATCCAGACAGAGGAATCAACGGAATACGCTTCGCTGGACTTCGCACGGATGAAACCGGAGGATAAGTAGACGCTGATAAGGAATGATTTCGCTCAGTCGTAAATGTGAAACGTGTTCCAAGACATTCCTTAAGGCTTGTTCATAGTCGGTGCAAAACTGAATGGGAATTTGTGATGTCATGGCAAGTGCACGTATGCTGCAAATTCGCACTTGTTGAAAACATTCCAATTCTTGCAAATTTTACTGCAAATTTGTGTGACGTCCAATGTTCCTGACATTCACATTAATTATGAGCAAGCCTTAATGCAATGTTAGGCCGTGTCCGAAACAGGTTTCCAGAGCTAGAGCTACGGCTGCGTCTATTGTCAGCGCGTCCCGGCGTATTTTCAATAGGTGCAGACCTAGACCTAGCTGTAGACAGCTGATTCGGATGCAGCCTTATACATGTTATACCTTTATGTGATCAGTATATGTACATCATACTGAAGTTGTACATTTAAATAGTGAATCACAAGATACCTGGACTAGTAATCGGGGGGTCGTTGGTTCGAGTCCCACCCAGTTAACTGTAGAAAATGTTGTCACAACGTCTCATAGATATGAGTAGAGAGTGAACACATGATTGTGAAATATGTCACCTGTGTTTTGTACTTAGTTTCTCGTTGCGGTTTATCTAGGAGGCAGAAGAAAATGTTTAACCACAAAAACCTTCTTTGAAAAAAAAAATGATTTAGCCTATAAAACGTGTCTAATTTTCAACATCTGGACAAGCTGTAAATAAACATTCCTTGCCAAGATTTTAAAGGTATAATATAAACCAATTTTTTCTTTCATACTTTAAAATTTAATTGGTTTGTGCTGTACAGCATCGTTAAGCGGTGAATTGAGATATACAGGGCTCTTATAGACTCTGTGCGCAAGTACCCCCTCAACGGTTACAAAAGGAGAGTTGGGGGACCTTGACCTTGGAGGGAATCTTGAGCACATTACAGGAGCACCTGACGCTCGTGCCAAGTTATCACCAATTCATGCAAATTCAAAACGAAATAGTGTGTACTTTGCCCCATGTGCGTACGAGTCAGTACGCGCATGCAGCACGTCCCTCCCATTGGAACTATTGAAAGGGGTCACTAGGCGCCATGCACTTCTTGTTCGCGTTGTCCACTGTTCATGCACATTTGTTGATTTGGTTTTTTTCCTCCACCCATGCTCAAATGAATTCCTCACTTGAATGATATATGTTAAAAATAATTTTGTATTAATCATCGTTGTCATAGTTGTATAATATATGGAAATATGCAAAATGCTAATAATTTATGCAGACATTTTTTGAGTTGCAATTTTTATATAATTTTTGTAAATACATTTACCTTTGTTCCTTCCATTATTTTTAATATACTAACAATCGTCTCATTACATTAAGTTTGTTTTTTTCAATAGGCATTTGTATGGGCACAGATTGCCATTGATAATTGAAAGGAGGCAAAAGGTACAAGAGGTGATCTTTCAATGTTGAGGAAGTGTGGGGTTGAAAAAGTTGTGGAACAGTTTAAACATTTAAAAGAATATCAGAGCCTTGAAATCTCTGTGTCTACTTCACTCTACTTACCTGTAGAGCAACACTACTTATGCATATTCCCCCTACCGGCAGGTATTTTCGCTAAGAGTTATATACAATAGCGCCCTCCGGCGCCCTACCCATAACACCCCGCGGCATGCGTGCCTCGTGAGCGTCCTCTTTTCTCTTAGCGGCAGGTCGGGTAGGACGTGCGTGAAATAGCTCGCTGTTTGCCTCGTCATTTACTACCCTTTTTTGCGTTTAAGAGAAGTATTTAATAAAAGATTTAGTATTCATTAGTTTGTAGAGTTTTCATCATCTTCTTGGTTTCGTTTATTTCATAATTATGAAGCGTTTGGGGAGGGCCGATCTGTCACTAACCGGGGGGAATTCCTCTCCCACGGGACGGACCGAGTCCTCGGGGGACTCTGCCGTTAACGCTACGTCGTTACCGCGGCAGCAGTCTCTCGTCCGACACCCTCAGCCACAGTCGGCTGGGGGAGTTGGCAGTTCCGCCGATCAGTTAAGGGGGCCTCGGTCACCTTCTCCGGTCAACTCAGGCGAAACACCCAAACTAAGGGCACACTCCGGCAAGGTTCCTCCAAAACATATCTCCTGTGCCGGAGCAAAGCCTAAGAAGGGCCGTCAGGGCAAGCGTGGCTCGGCAACGAGCGCCGCTGTGGCACCTGGCCCTCCCCCGATCACGGGGCAGCCCGAGGGGGCTAGCCGTCACACTTCGGTGGGCGCTAGTCACCCGTGTCCTCCCGACACAGTGCCGAACACCACTGGTTGTCGGGATGGGCTATTGCGCGGGCTACCGGCCCGTTCAATGCTCGCTCAGCCCACGGGGCCTGAGGCGCTGTCGGCCGGGTGCATTATGAGCGATACGGAGCCGATCGCCCGGGGGGATCCCGGGCCGACGGCCCCCGTGCCATCTCGCTCAGAGGGACTACCCTCATCATCGGAATTTTTCCGTTGTTCGGGGGTCCCGGTGTCCCAGGTGTCTTCCGATTTTTCTTCGGACACACCTCGGGGCCGTTCTTCTAAGAAGAAGAAGAGTAAGAAGAAGGCTTCACGTCGATCACGCCGTTCTTCTTCGGAGTCGGACGACTCCTCTGACCGGTCCCGCCGGGGCAAACGCTCCCGGGGGGAGGACGCGGTTTCCAGAGCAGATTTCCTGCAGGCTTTCCAGTCGATTTCTGATACGCTATCGGCTATGTCTGCAGGCCGCCGGGCGGGCCCCATTGGGGGCCCCCTGCAGCGGTGGACTACGGCCCACAGCCATCGGTTGTTGGGCCCGCATCGCAGTCTTCAGTCACCGGTCACGCTTGGGTGGCCCGGGAACAAAGGGACATACCGCACACAATTAGTCGTGCTCCCGCGTCCCCGCCTGCGGTGAGAACTTCACAATCGTCGTTCGTTGGCCACGGTTGGGTGGCCCAGGCACAACGGGATATACCACACGTGGTTGACCGTACACCGGAGGCCCGGCCTGCGGCGAGTGTCTCGCATGCATCGGCCGTGAGCCACGGTTGGGTGGATCAGAGGCCGCGGGATCTACCGCGTACGCTGGGATCCCCGCCTGAATTGAGCATTCATCCATCCATGCAGTATGGCTCTGAGGAAGTTGTCCAGCCGCTAGCGCGTGGCTCGGTACAACTCGCCCCTCCAGACGACGTTCGTTCACCGGAGTCAAATCGGCCCTCACAATCGGCTGAGTCATCCGATGACGACGAGGAACCAGACCGGTTACAACGGCTGTCTATTTCTGAAACGGAGCTCCGTTTAGTACAGAGGGATATGATACGAGTACTTCATCTACCCTCCGCTGATGAGCCCCCTCCGCCCGATCATAAATCTTTCAAGCGAAGGACGGGCTCTACATCTAGCAGTGATAAAATATTCCCCATACTTCCTTTAGATCAAGTATGCGTGGAACATATCAACAACATCATGTCAACGGATAGATGGCGTCCGTTTCTCAGACGGGAACGAGATTATTTTCGTTTCCCAGCTGAAGATTTTGCGAAGTTTTTCACTCCGCCTACTCTCCCCGACGCAGCAAAAGATAAACTTGCGGCCGATGAGAGTGGATCGTCTTCCAAGCGACCCTTTGCGGACAAATCACGTTGTAAACTTGAAGACGTTTTGAAGAAGATAGACACAGCTTCACGTTTTGGCTCGCGGTCAACGTCTTTCTTACTTCTTCTTACTGAATATTTAGCCGTGGGCTATGAAGAGGACTCGCCGATTCCAGCGGATATGCTGACTGCGGCCCTTCATTGCCTTGACCATGGTCTACGCTCAGTGCTTGATCAATTCGCACGAGTGTCGGCCCTATCAACGTCCACCCGCCGGGGTAACGTGCTCGATGCACTGTTCCTCCCGTCGCAGGGTGCTCGAAAAAGACTTGAAGATCTCCCCCTGACGGGCACGGATCTTTTTGACGGGAAATTCGAAGATCAGATGCGAGATGAGGCCAAACGTCTGAAGGCTACGGAGAAAATCAACTTCAAGAAGCCTCCAGCACCGGCGTCCAAACAACAGCGTGGTAAGGGCAAAACATTTGTCATTCCCCGCCGCAAACCTCTGAAATCTGGTCGCGGTGGTTTTCGTGGCCGCACGGACAATTCTTCCGGTGCGCGCGCCACGCAGGCCCGCACGTTCTCTGGACAACAACGGCCCCAATCCGGTCGTGGTTTCCGGGCACCGGCCCCCCGCTATCCCGGGGGCTGGCGCAAGTGACTTAGTAGACTCGTGGCGGCCTCCCGCCGTCGGACCCGTGGGAGGCCGTCTCCGAGACTTTGCGGGGTCCTGGGGTTTAATTACGTCCGACCGGTGGGTGCTCGACACGATCGGGTGCGGCTACGCACTCGAGTTCTCGAGCGCCCCCCCGTCGGACATGGTCGTTCGACCGACGGTAGTTCCGTCCGATCCTACCAAACGTCTCTCCCTCGAGGGGGAGATCAGTTCCCTCCTCGGGAAACGGGCAATTCGCCCGCTCCCTCCGGGGGAGACGCGGTCGGGCTTCATGTCGACCTTCTTTCTGGTACCCAAGAAGGAGGCCGGCATGTGGCGCCCGATTTTAAATCTAAAACCCCTCAACAAATTTATTCGGCCAAGACGTTTTCGCATGGATACGCTCAACATCATACTCCAATCGATTCGTACACCTGCATGGGGAGCCAGTCTCGATCTGAAAGATGCGTATCTACACATTCCTGTCAGACCAGACCACTGGAAGTTTCTTCGTTTTCAGTACGAGAACGTCCAGTACGAGTTCATGGTTCTTCCGTTTGGTCTAGCCACCTCACCCCGAGTCTTCACGCGTGTGGTGAAGACAATCGGGGCCGCATTAAGAAAACAAGGTGTGATGATCTTCATGTATCTGGACGATTGGATCATTCTTGCTCAATCTCAGACGGCCGCGTCGGCGGCACTCAATCTGACTTGGCATCTAGCGGCGGATCTCGGGTTTATTATCAACGCCGAGAAATCCCATCCACATCCATCCCAATTCCCAATCTTTCTGGGAGCGTCACTCGATCTCCAGAGGGGATTGGTTCGGCCTACGGAGGAACGAATTGTAAATCTCCAACAGTGTGTGTCTCTGTTTCTCCCGACGACCATGGCCCCAGCGCAAGCCTGGCTAAGATTACTCGGTCTTATGGCCAGTATGGTAGATGTGGTGAACTTTTGCAGACTAAGGATGCGTCCCATCCAATTACATCTGCTGTCCTTCTATCGGCCCAGTCGTCATCACATACGTCATCTGGTGCCGACCACACCTTGGCTAATACCGCACCTCCGTTGGTGGCTCGACAATGCCAATCTCACGGAGGGGCGCGCTTTTCACAATCCCGGGCCGTCAGTGACCATCACGACAGACGCGTCACTTTTTGGCTGGGGGGCCACCCTCCACCCGCGCCAAGTAGCGGGTCGGTGGGGGCCCAAAGAGTGCTCGAAGCACATAAATGTGCTGGAGATGTTGGCAGTCATCAATGCTCTCCAACGTTTTCAAGCATCAGTGACAAACCAGGTAGTCAACATTCGTTGCGACAATGCCACAGTAGTGGCCTACATCAATCGACAGGGAGGCACGCGATCCGCCCAACTATGCGCGCTCACGTGGAATCTCTTCCACTGGTGTATGGACCACGGAGTAACACTCGTGGCAACTCATCTCCCAGGCGAGGAGAACGTCACAGCCGACGCTCTCTCCAGGGGGTGGGTCGTTCCGACGGAATGGACACTGCGTCCGCAGGTTGTCCAATCACTTTTTCTGTTGATCGATCGGCCTCATGTCGACCTATTTGCCTCTCGAAACAACCACCAGTTACCGGTATACTGCGCAAGACACAACGACCCTTGCGCATGGCAGACAGACGCACTGGCAATACGGTGGGACAGACTACTTGCGTACGCCTTTCCCCCGTTCTCCCTCATACCGCGAGTACTGACCAAAGTGGAACAGGAGGAGTGCAAGATCCTCCTCATAGCTCCATTTTGGCCACGCCAACCTTGGTTCCCGAGACTCATCAAGCTCTTGGTTCACCGCCCGGTGATTCTTCCGAAGAGGGCAGACATACTGTTCCAGCCCAGCTCGGGTTTTCTTCACCCGGCCCCGGAGGATCTCCACCTGACGTGCTGGGTATTATCAAGCAATCCTTCCGCACGGCGGGCCTTTCTGAACGAGCTGCGGCCATTGCAGCCTGCAGCCGGCGGGAGTCTACCAGGAAAATTTATAACAGTAGATTACACCATTTTTACAAATGGTGTAGAGCCAGGTCTCTGCGTCCCTCCGATACTTCTATAGGAGAGATTGCAGACTTCCTAGTAGGCCTCTTTGACAGTGATCTTGCTACAGCCACAGTTAAGAATTATCGTTCGGCTATAGCGGCTATTCATGGAGGTTTCTCTGACGGTTCCTCGGTGTCAGATAATCAGAATCTTAGCCAACTTATCAAGGGGATGTTTGTGTCACGCCCCCCGACACGTAGGCTATTACCATCGTGGGATCTCTTTGCTGTCTTATCAGCCTTATCGAGACCCCCGTTTGAACCAATGGGCAGCTCAACCTTGTTGCAGCTGTCGGTTAAAGTGTCATTTCTATTAGCAGTGGCTACGTCTAGAAGACGTAGCGAGCTGCATTCGCTTACGGTGGAGACAGGTCATATCCGGTGGGAACCAGGGGGTGTTCGCCTGGTTCCTAAAACAGGTTTTCTGACCAAAAATCAGTCAGAATCATTTTCACCTCCTGACATTTTTGTGCCGGACATCAAATCCTTTTCGTCTGTCTCTGGTGACAGACTTTGGTGTCCGGTCAGAGCCCTGAAGTGGTACATTGATAGAACTAAAACGCTCCGAAGCGGCCATTCACAGCTGTTTATAACAACGACTCCACCATACCGACCGGCCTCGCGTGATACAATTTCCCGCTGGTTGGTTACGGCCATCAAATCAGCAATAGACTCACCAACAACAGATTCCGTTGGGTCAGTCCATGCACATGAGGTCAGGGCAGCTTCTACTTCCTGGGCCTTTTTTAAGGGTGTTTCTATTAAAGATATCACACAGGCAGCGTGTTGGAAAACCCCCAACACCTTTACAGAGTGCTATTTGAAGGATGTCCTCCAGACGGAAGGCAGAGCCGGGAGAGTGGTGCTGAAGGCGGCGAGCCGAGCATCATCAGGTCCACAGGATCCTCTCCTACCCGGGGCTTCCCTAGAATAGGTGAGTCTCCTCATCCTGGCTATTTACATTATACATTACATTGTATTGAATATAAATGTATAGCTAAACACTCTTGTAATAAGGTCATTGGTCTTGGACAAGTTACCTTCTTTTTATACAGTTTGCCTTGTGCATGGGCTTGGTTTGAAGTGTTTTAGAACTTGCTTTAAGAAGTGTCGTGTACTAACAGTACTCTTCTTTGCAGGATTCAGCTGTATTATATATTATATTTATTATTATATAATACTTTACATTATGAGACGTTCCCCCTAACGAGGGCTGACGTCTCGATTAACATGTGAGGGTAATTAATATCCTTTACATGTACAGTTCTTGGTTTTTTCCCTGTCCGCCTTTGGACGGAACAGTGGGAGCCATCTGGGGTTACATTCCATGTTTCATGCCCCCGTGAGTAAGCAATAGCATCTCGCATGGCCCACCTCCTTGACGGTGCTAGTCTATGCATAAGTAGTGTTGCTCTACAGGTAAGTAGAGTGAAGTAGACTCCCCCCCCCCACAGAAGTGTGGTTGGGGTCTACGAACGAATACTTACCTGTAGAGCATCCCTCCCTCCTACCCCACTCTTCTCGATGCCTTGGGTACTTTGTTGTATTCCGACTTAGCGCTCGAGAAAAGAGGACGCTCACGAGGCACGCATGCCGCGGGGTGTTATGGGTAGGGCGCCGGAGGGCGCTATTGTATATAACTCTTAGCGAAAATACCTGCCGGTAGGGGGAATATGCATAAGTAGTGTTGCTCTACAGGTAAGTATTCGTTCGTAGACCCCAACCACACTTCTGTGGGGGGGACTTTAAGATGACTGTGGTGCATTCTGGGAACTAGGGTGTGATTGGTCAGGTTTTTCCTGGTTTCAGGACACTGAATCTCTTTTGAAATCTGGAATTCCTGAGTTTTTACCATATTATGGGTCTATGCAGAACAAACTTAATGGGTGTTATTATTTTGTGAGGGGTGTCTGAAGGCAAATATAAACGAATACGATAGACTCTACATTGCTGTGGAATGTCATCGACCTGCAAACCTTCGGCCCATTATTTCTCGTGTGTTCCATTTTCTTCCAATCTCACTCCTTATAGACAATAGACCTTTATCATGCTGCCACCATTTCAGTCATGCTCCCTGTATCCAATAACAGTACTAAATTATAATGTTTTTGTGCAAAAAGGAAACAGACTATTTTTCCTTCAAGCCTCGCTTTGGTTATGTTGATTTGAATGGGCAAAAATCAAGATGGCCGCAACATGATAATGGTCTATGGAAGGAGGGGTCAGCCCTACATTTAAACTACAGCTTCCAAAATTCATAGAGACTTAAACAGGTACGGTGCTCGAAAACATAAAGAATCATTAATTTGTACAGAAGTGCCCACCCCCTTTTTTTTTTGGGGGGGGGGGGTGTTTTATCAAATTATTTGGACCAGCGTGGTCTCTTTCTCCCTGCACACCTAAAGTGAACACAATTTTCCAAAGATTGGAGTTCAGCATGTTCTTTTCTGTAGATGTCACAAAAATAAGGAGCAGGTGAATTTTTTTCTGAACGATCCGATATGCCTTTGTGCTTTGTCACATCAGAATAACGTGCCTTATCAGAATCCATGTGATCAGGTGTTATTGACACTGTGGATATGTTCAAGGCATTTTTTGGATGATAATCCCTTTAGGCTTACTCTTATCATTGTGGGACAACTCACAAGCAACAATGGACAGTCGCGTTTATAATTGTTATTTTTTTTAAAACGTCTTTGACTCATAAAAATCCTACGGATTTTGTGCTAGATGACAAAATAAGAGTAACATTCCTGTTTTGAGAGACCATTTTTTACTTGTATTTTTTCTACATTGTACAATTGCGAATCTTACATCATTTCACACCATAATAACGCTATTCTTCCCTAAATTTGATTGGTTTGTTTTAACTCTCTGGTTTGTTGAAAGGGCTGATATAAGTCATCATATTTTTTCTAATAGGCATAACACTTAAAATTTGCCTTCCGGTATGAATTTTTAAGACAACTTTTTGTTTAAAATGAAATATTGTTTTAAGTTTGAGAAGGCATTTTGATAGTTATACAATCATATTACTCGGAGCTATTTTTATGGACCTATAAAATGCTTATAAACCACCTGATCCAACACGCAGGGAAATATATTCCCGATCGGATAATTTGTGTAACAAAAATATACTCAGTATTTTATTGTGCATTTGAGATCATTTTATGCACCGTTTGATGGAGAGTATCTGGCTTGTAAATTGCTTTTGTATCATCGACCAAGACTTTGAAATCTGACGAATATTTTTTTTATACATTAAATGAAGAAAGCATTAAAAGTGAATAAACAAATTTGTATGCGGGATATAAGTACTTCAAATTGCCAATACACCGTACTGATTATATTTGTAATTAAAGAAATGCAGATTTTTTTAAATGATATATTTTTAATACAGTGAGCTTGCAGCTAGTGCAATTGATGGTATTTTCTTCCATCCTGATATTTACAAATTCCTGCAAATGATCAACCAAAATGTGTATTTTTGTGTACTAATCAAACTGTATATATAAAGCAGATAATATATTTTATTGAGACTTTATCTTTTACATATTTTACATCTTTTACATCTTTGTGCTTACAGTAACAGTCGGTCTTTGAAGATGCATCCCGGTGCTCTTAAAAACAACAATTAGATTTGCGTTTTTCTCCTAATGGATAAAAAAAAAATCCATTCCGATTTTGGGTGTTTGCAAGTGAACCCACCGTGCGAGAATCGAATTATTGTCTGGCAGCGTTAATTCGAATTTGAGAAGAAATAAGTCAATGAATAAACGTCGTTGGATTTTTCTGTTCCATGTCTCATTCAGAAGTGAATAACGTTTATAAAAACAGCGATGGAAAGTAACAAATACATGTTTTGAGTCGAGATTCAAAAAGAACATAGGAAATGCATCTTTAAAATTGAGACTAAATAATGTATATCTGTACGTGTTTAAAACAGTGTTGAACCCGTATCAGTTGTACTTCTTGGAATTCAGATTTTGAGAAACATTTTCATTTTTGTGAGAAACTCCTTTGAAAATGCATTCAACCCTCCACAGACTTTGTACACAACCAAGTAAGTGGTCTGGATAAAACATGTACATTCTTTCCAACTGTTGTATTTTTGGGAAAATAGCAATTACGAAAATAATCATTTCTTTTTTGGCGTGAAATTGGAATACATTGTATTTAGAAAGGACAGTACATCTAAATGTATATTACTGAGATTTGATTTTCAACCTTAAATCCAACACCTGGAGCTGCTAAGCACAAAAGAGATACGCTTAGCCAAACAAAAACAAACCAAAAAACCAAGATGACCTGCCAAAATGTTATACACTGTCAGTGTTTACTTTATACACAAACAGTTTGCTCAGCAGTATTTTCTAATAAGCAACTGCATGAGATTGCAACCTTGGATTTTGCAGCATTTTGGATTTGCTACCAAACCACTATGACGATCCTGTTTTTGAGTACTCTGTACAAAGAATGTGCCCATCATGTTGGATTTTTGGAATTGAAGGATTTGGTCCTCGTTATGATCTCTGTAAAGATTAAATGCAATATTTGTGCAATAAATGTCAAATGTAGCTGTTAAGTTCTGAAAAAGTTTGTATATTTTAGCTGGAAAATCGTGGATAAGCAGCTCTGCAGTCTGATTGGTTGAATGTTTGTCAGTGTACATTCTGATTGGTCTGTGAACATTACCCGTTTAACCCTTGACCTGTGGGAATTGGTCAGCGACGATTGAGAGGAAGAGAGTGTGGTTTTGATAACTTGTAAAGCACACGTACATTCCAGTTGCAGCTGGGATCGAATGCAAACACAGTGTTCTTGATTTTAATCCATTCCTAGAAAAGTGCTGTCCAGTGAAAGCCAGAATAGGAGCTCCAATAAATCTGCTGCAAAATAATTCAAAAGTCGTTGTATCTTGTTTGTTACCAGTGGCTGTTGGTTTTGTATTTAGGTCAAGGAAAAAGTTCGATCTTGTCCTGTTAATTGGGTAAGAGAAGTTGTAACTATAACAGCGGGAAAAACACCAATAATGTCCACACGATATTGACATGCACACTTCAAGACAGATCTAAGTTTGCCTCGGAAGTAAGCATTACCTTATCTATACTTACTGCCTACTGTTTCCGTCAAATGGATTGAGGCCTGTCTTTATTGTTTTACATTATTGTAATCTTTACTCTGTTTCATTTGAACAAAGTCTGCTCATTCTTATTCAAAAAAGAAATTACAACCTTGCTTATTTCTACAATTTATATCAAAAGAACTAAAAAGGTAAATAGTAACATTTTTTTTTTACAATACACCGAAAACTGCTTTGTAAAATGTTTAAAGTTATTAGGCAGACCGAAATCCAATATGGCGTCGTCGTTAATTGTGCATATGCCATTCACAAGATGGAATTTCGTTGGGGTGTTGTAAATTCAATATTAGGTTTTGCCTTGAGCATACAATTTTTCCCGACCAAGGCCTCGTCTCCGCTTCGCCTTATTTTAGGGTCCCTGAGTTTGTGGGTTCCGGCAAAATATAAATTGATGTCTTGCTACAGAGACATCATACTGTATGATTTTGAAACAAAGATGAAAGTTTTACATTTGGTTTTGACATGAGAGGCCAATCAAATGTTTCAAAGATAACAGACAAAGCTGAGGACGGGGACCAAGCCTGTGAGAGAGCCCCCCCCCCCTCCCTCCCCCTCAATAGCGCCAGCCCCGGCACGTTTAGACTTGTTCCCGGTCTAGTAGGATGGATTCCCGGCACTTGAGTATACCATTAACACAGGTAAAGGTTTGGTAACCAGTCTTCTTCAAAGGCAATGATGTCTTAGTTGCTATGACGACGTGAACGGTATAAGTAAGTGCCTAAGTGAGCCATTTTTTATATACATTTATAGATAAACATATCACTCATGGTGGCATATTACACCCAACCATTTAAACCATCAGGAACAATAATTGTCGGAATTATAGTCAAAATTAATGTAAGGAACTGTTCTAGATATAGGAGAATTAACTTAGTTCTATATATATTATTTTAACCGGGTGGCCCATTCAGTGGAATCCACTGGTCTCCCATGGGGCCCAGCGTACATAAAAGACAATAAACATAACAAACAATCAACATTAAAAATACACATTCACATAAAATCACATTAATTTGAAAAGTCATCAAGCATGAGAAAATATGACCCTCCCGAAGCTAACTACCAGAAGCATTAATTTATATGTGAAATACCCACAAATATGCATATAAAAATGTAATGAAAAGATAAAACTGATGACACATTTTGTATAAAAAGACAGACATCTTAAAAAAAAAGATCAACTTATACATGTATGCACATGCCAATGTTGTGGAGGATAAAAACTAACAACACATGATCTTTTATAAAAAGACCGTAATTATGCTTTATGCATCTTAACACTAACAGGTCAATGTGAGACATCTATATTTACATTTGTGAGTTTTTTTCTTTGTTTTAACTAATGTGGAAATACCGTATGTATTGATAAAATATCAATAAGAAAACAACATATAAATAATCGAAAATTGCCCAACCCTGAGAAGGCGTCATAGTTCATATTCTTCAAAAGTATGGCCTCCTTGATAAGAAATATCCCCCCCCCCCTCAAAAAAAAGGTTTTCCAACAAAAAAACTCATGGTGTGCTGCCGGACTTCTTAGACCCAAACCGCTGGAGATGAGGCCGTGGTTTGAAAACTCTGAAAGTACGGGCCAGCTCTGTATGTACTGCCCTCTATCGACGACTAATCTTAACAATCCAAGATGGCGGCCTACATGAACGATTTAACAACGCAAAGAGCTGCTGAAGAAATAGTTACAAACGAAGAAATAACGAAAGTGTGTGAATTGTAAGGAAGAGTTTTAAAAACTTTACATTGTCTTTTACCATTGGCATTTATTTACGGCACTAACAAAACACTTCAACAATGATTTTAGGGAACTTCTTTCGAAGTGGCTATCGTTACGGCACTCGTTGTTTAGCGCCCTCTACGATATTTTTTTGATACGCACGCAGGTATATAATTATTTGTTTCCCCACGGTTTGTCGAGCAGTGCGCCAGCTCAGCCGATAGAGGGTAGGATTTTGCACCGCGAGGTTGCGGGTTCGAGTCTCAGTTTTGCACTCGAATTTTTTTCCTTTTCTAACCTGAGGCTTTGGAGGATTTTTTTTAAAAGGGAAATAAAGTCCGAATTTCATAAAGTTCAAATTCACTTTTTTCCTTCTAATTTTATATTTTCTTGTCATGTTTTTTTATAAAAGTTGCCAGGTTGCAGTCTACCGTAACAATAGAAAATGGGAAATGCGTTACGGCTGCCGTAACAATAGCCACTGCGAACTTCTTTTGGAGGAAAGGCATGCGCATGGCCATGGTGCTTGCTCGCACAGTAGAGAGCGCCCTCACCTGCTCACTGTACACGCTGTATGTGTCGTCGTCAGGGCTGTACGTCTTTTCTCACTACGTTAAAAATAATTATATAACCGACATACGGTAATCCTTACTTTTAGGACCCCGTTCCTATATAGGAAGGGAAAGACTCACCAAAACAGCTGACTAAATGACACTCAAAATTGACATTCTGATACTTCTTGGCACATCTGAACAATGGGCAATGACACCTTCTTGACTTCTCTAAAGACTGCTTTAGCCTGCAAAAGTCACTTTGGTACTGGTACTGGGCAGACATCTGCAAAAGTCAGTTTTGAACAGAACTCGTAGAAAAAATAGAGGTGTCCTAAAAGTAAGGATTACCCGACATACAGATCCTTGTCATTTGATTGGTGGAACTCACATCACGTGGCATTCTTATTGCTCCCATTCATGCCGCGGCTCAAAAAGGTTGGCCGAGAGCGAGTCACATGTTACTTTCTAGTTTTGCTATCTTTCTGTGCACGGCCCAAACTACTATGCGCATAGCAACCAAAGTACTATACCATTAGCAACCAAAGTACTATTTCCACGGCGCGGTATTTGTGTGCAAATGCATGCTGGTGTGCGCGTTGTGTATAGCGCATATTATTCCAAAGAGAGCGCGCCGCAAACTTGGGTTCAAACATTTCGAATATTAAAATCAAGCTGAATCTGTGGGTGAAGTGTTATAAAACAAATATTGAATGCTTTATCTCGTGGTGAAGTAAAACTAGCCTCCCTCGGTGATCCATGGACCATTCTATTTTCCCTCGGCTTCGCCTCGGGAAAATAGAATGTCCATGGATCACCTCGGGAGGCTAGTTTTACTTTGGTTATAAATACAACATTTGCAAACATCGTAGAATAAAACTACCAAGTTTTTACGAAATACCTTACTAGGATGTTGGTTAATGACAGTTAGAAACATCCTGTAAACTTATGGCACCTGGTGTGAAGTTATTTTCAAGAAAATTATATTTTTGCATACATTTCCAACGGTGGTCGGCCGACCACCATTGGAGAAACCTGACTATTTTTCAACTTCTACTCCAAATTTACCTTTTTTTTTCAGTCCTAATTTTGTTTGCTATTGGTTACATGTTCACAAACAGGTGCGGGCCAGCTAGACTGGTTCCCTTACCTTACAATTTTCCGGCATCTATAAATTGATCAATTTTATCTTTAGTGGAGTCAGGGAACCAGACTACTTGAACAGTTTTGTTTTTCTTGGTTTTTCCAGCATTTTCGAAGACAAAACTTCCAACATGTCAATGTAACAATATTTGATCTATCCCTCAAGGCTCAAATAGTTCATTTCTGAAAATTGCAGCAAAAACCAATGATGTACATTCCCTTTAACTTAACTTTATTTCCAATTCGAAACTAGATAATGAACAACATGAATAACATTGTAAATAATGCAGTGGAAAAAATAAATAATTAGAAAGACAATTTAGTTTGGAAAATGGAGGGGGTCCATCAGAAGCACAGCTTGTCGAGTATGGGCGCCCTAAATTAGATTGGGTATTTTAAGGGATTTAGAAGGGACCCAAGCTACACCAAACACAATAGGACAAACAGAGACAGAACTAAATGTAACATATTCAGATAAACAATAGACTGACAATAGAGAAATATGAATGCACAAACTTAGAATAATTGACATACGGGTGAATCAATAAAGGAACTATATAAAACGTAATGACAAGGCATTAAACAAGAAGTCAAAATAGGTATCATACAATCAGGTAAGTGTAATGAACGGGTAAATGGGAATGAGGAAATAGATTTAGTCGAGATACAAACAGGTAAGTATAAAATAATAGGGTGTAAGTGAGGAAAGTCAAGGAATGAAGGATTAAGAACATAAATGGCATTAAGACACATTGTAGTTAAATGACTGAGGGAACAAACAATATGAATGGATCTATCTAAAGAATTCCAGAGTTTAGGACCTGCAGTTGGCAATGACACCGTCTTGAATCAGCAGGTTTAATTTTGTGGAATGAGGATCAGGGCTTTGACTTATGAGGGAAATTAAGGGGTAATAAACGAGGATGATGAAAAACAGACACAAAAAACAAGATGGCAAACTGCAAAAAAGGTAGGAAAGTCACATTTTCTTTGAAAGTGCTTTCAAAATTACAACTAACATGAGTTTATCTGAAGAAAAAAGTCACTTTGGTACTGGACATTCATCTTCAAAAGTCAGTTTTGAACAGATGTCTAATCCGACCGTACCTGCCACAGTGCACCGTGGTGGGCCATGCATAGACTTGTTACTGCATTTCCATCATGATATCTTTGGTCCCTTGGCGGCGTGGCGCGAACCAGTCATCGCTGCCGTGAGCATTTCGCACGTGCTACATGTTTTCATATCGTCACCGCGACATTGAATTGCGAAATAGTTATTGCGAAGCGAATTGTAAAAACAGAGGTTTCTTCAAAGAACATAGCGAATGTAAATAGGCAAACAAATAAATACAAACATTTTGACGCAAAATGGTTGTTGAGACGTACAAATGAAGACAGAAAAGACAACAGTATTTCTTTTAATTTATTGTTTCATTTGTAATTATATATTTTTTTGACTTGCCGATAACATTTTTAAGGTCACAGCCTTAAAATACATGTAGGGTCGGTCGGGTAACTGAAAGCAAAACTATTCTTTTTATTGGCCTAACTTAAAGCAATAGCCAATGAAATATCCAGATGTTTAATGTAGAGTTCAATGGGCAGGTCCCCTTGCATTCTTTGATGTTGTTCATTAACCCTAACCCCCTAGGCCCTTGTTGCTTACAACCATCCTCAATCCTCCAAAATCCTCCAAAATTTTGCAACTCCGCCTAAATTTTTCAAAATTGTCAGACAGTCCTGCCTCAAAATGCATTCATCCTCAATCCTCCAAAATCCTCCTCATCCCAAAATTTCGCACTCGTGTTAAAATGAAGGATAACCAACGCCAAATCTTTCAAAATCATCAGACAGTCCTGCCTCAAAATGCATTCCTCCTCAATCCTCCAAAATCCTCTTGTGCTTCAATCACCATTCATCCTCAATCCTCCAAAATCCTCATGTGCTTCAATCACCATTCATCCTCAATCCTCCAGAATCTTCATTTGATTCAATCACCATTCATCCTCAATCCTCTAGAATCCTCCAAAACCGCCAGGAGGATTTTGGAGGAGTGAGGTGGGTTAGGGTTTTAACCCATTTTGCTTAATATATCAAATTGGACAGAAAGATTTGGGAGGCTTTGACTTTCCTTAGCTTTGCAAAGTTACCGGGAAGATGTTGAATTTAACTTAATTGTTTTCTCCATCAAACCAATCCCAGAAACTTACTATAAAATGCTCTCTGTTTTATTAGCTGTCATCAATACTGATTGGCCTAATAATAATGTGTCTAAATGTCTTGAAGATTTATTTTCATCTTTTTTTCTAGATGTCTCAAGGAGACCTCCAAATACAAATGTCCTCGTTGCGGCATATTCTACTGCTCCCTGTCATGTTATCGGGGTGGGAAGCATGCCGGTTGCTCAGAAAAGTTTTACAAAAACAACTTCATGGAGGTGATGAAAAACAAAAAGGGGAGGTACGTAAGTCATATTCTTACTATTCTTATTGATTTTGCATTTAATTTTGTAAATGTTTAGCTTGAACATTTAAATGTTTTAATTAATGTTTAACCATTTCACAAATATTTAACCATTTCACGAATACATGTTTGTCTGCAATCATAGATGGGCATGATTGGCATAATAGATCAACAATGATTGACATAATAAATAGCAGGCACTCTAGCTATCATTGAAAACTTAACAATTTAACCACATTTATTCCCCGAATGTAAACAAGTTTTGCAGTGCTTCTAAGGTTTTATGAAGTAAAATAGGTTTGAAAACATCAATTGATATTTGTGTTATGTTTGTTTAACTGAAAGGAAGACCGTGAATAAAGCCTCTCCCTTTTTTATAGTTAAGGTTTCGTTTAAACAATTTGCACACTTTGTAAATGGATATAAAATGTTGTTTAATTGAAATGTTTAACCATGTAAATGTCACATCATACTTCTTACAAGTGAAATGCGCTCATCACATTCATTAGGTCATTGCTGATATCAAGTGAATTTTATGAAAGCAAATTGATTATTTAAATACTTGTTTCCTTAAAATCTGTGTTGTAGTCGAGCCCATCACAAGTCCGTCACCGGTCCTTCAGTCTCAAGTCACATGCTATTGACATGAACCGTGAATCAAGCGTTCCTTTGTTGGTTTTCATCCCTCTATGATTTGTGAATGGACTTAAGATGTACTTGTGATTGACTTGTGACGGACTTAACTACTACATATACATTGATTATAATGCAATCAAACAATGAGTTTCTTTTGACTGATAGTAATGGCATATAGTGCATGTACAATAATTATCTGCAAGTGACTGCCAAAGAACTACTTAATTATCAAAATATATTCATACAATCCTATGTTTCAGTGAAGAAGATCGTAAGAAGATGCTTGAGATTCTACAGAGAGTTGATGCTGAATACAAACCTCTGTTTGATGAGGAAGGGGCGGAGATTAATGAAGAAGAGGAGGAAGAGGATGAAGCTACTGAGACATTGGCAGAGAGAATGGCAGGACTAGATCTAGGTACTAGGATCGGTTAAAATAACAGCAATATTTTGCAGGACGGAATTTTATGTTGGGAAGAGTATACAGTGATAATGACATTCTTATAGTGAAGGGCATAACCCAGTATTGAATTGTAATAGCAATTGAAAACACACAGCATATTTCCCGTGGATACAAAGCACTAAATTTGTAGAATCTTCCCTCCCAATCCTGTCTTACCTAGCCTCTTGCCTTACTACCTCCCTGCTTACCTCCCTGCTTATTACCAGTCTGCTTAACTCCCTGCTTACCAGCCTGCTTATCTCCCTGCTCACCTCCCTGCTTACCAGACTGCTTCCCTGCTTACCTCCCTACTTATCAGTCTGCTTACCTCCCTGCTTACCAGCCTGCTTACCTCCCTGCTTACCAGCCTGCTTACCTCCCTGCTTACCCGCCTGCTTACCTCCCTGCTTACCAGCCTGCTTACCTCCCTGCTTACCAGCCTGCTTACCTCCCTGCTTACCTCCCTGCTTACCAGACTGCTTACCTCCCTGCTTACCAGACTGCTTACCTCCCTGCTTACCTCCCTGCTAACCTCCCTGCTTACCTCCCTGCTTACCAGCCTGCTTACCTCCCTGCTTACCAGACTGCTTACCTCCTTGCTTACCTCCCTGCTTACCTCCCTGCTTACCAGCCTGCTTACCTCCCTGCTTACCAGCCTGCTTACCTCCCTGCTTACCTCCCTGCTTACCTCCCTGCTTACCAGACTGCTTACCTCCTTGCTTACCTCCCTGCTTACCAGACTGCTTACCTCCTTGCTTACCTCCCTGCTTGCCTCCCTGCTTACCAGCCTGCTTACCAGACTGCTTACCTCCTTGCTTACCTCCCTGCTTACCAGCCTGCTCACCTCCCTGCTTACCTCCCTGCTCACCTCCCTGCTTACCTCCCTGCTTACCTCCCTGCTTACCAGACTGCTTACCAGACTGCTTACCTCCCTGCTTGCCTCCCTGCTTACCAGTCTGCTCACCTCCCTGCTTACCTCCCTGCTCACCTCCCTGCTTACCTCCCTGCTTACCAGACTGCTTACCTCCCTGCTTGCCTCCCTGCTTACCTCCCTGCTTACCAGACTGCTTACCTCCCTGCTCACCTCCCTGCTTACCTCCCTGCTTACCAGACTGCTTACCTCCCTGCTTGCCTCCCTGCTTACCTCCCTGCTTACCTCCCTGCTTACCAGACTGCTTACCTCCTTGCTTACCTCCCTGCTTACCTCCCTGCTTACCTCCCTGCTTACCAGACTGCTTACCTCCTTGCTTACCTCCCTGCTTACCAGCCTGCTCACCTCCCTGCTTACCTCCCTGCTCACCTCCCTGCTTACCTCCCTGCTTACCTCCCTGCTTACCAGACTGCTTACCAGACTGCTTACCTCCCTGCTTGCCTCCCTGCTTACCAGTCTGCTCACCTCCCTGCTTACCTCCCTGCTCACCTCCCTGCTTACCTCCCTGCTTACCAGACTGCTTACCTCCCTGCTTGCCTCCCTGCTTACCAGCCTGCTCACCTCCCTGCTTACCTCCCTGCTTACCTCCCTACTGATCAGTCTGCTTACCTCCCTGCTTACCAGCCTGCTTCCGTTTCTGCTTGTTCCCTTGCCTGATTGGCTACCTCTCTCTGTACCCTGTTTGCTGACCCACATTCCTGCCTACAACCCTTACTCCATTGGGCATGGATATCTCCGTTTCTCAATCAATTGGATTATTTCTCCACTTTTTGTGAGGATTCAATTCCCAGTAACAATTGCCCAAAGAATATATTCCATGCACTTCAAAACAAAGTCTATGTTAATGGTCTATTTTGAGACATGCATTACAATGGTGATTTAGTCAGTATTTGTCATAAGTGTAATTACTGGGGATTTTCCCTTAAATTTGTTGATGAGTAAACTTAGTATCAATTCTGAATAGAATCAGAATTCCTGGGTGGGACTGAAATCTTTTCTCAATATGAAGGAGGTACCCAAGTCTATTCTCCTGACCCACCTCCTGCACTGATTACCCACCTCCCTGCCTCCCACTTGCCTATTTGCCTATCTGCTTTGCCAGTCTTGACTTGTCCGCCTCCCTGCCCACCAGCCTTCCTCCAGACTTACCTACATGTCATTGGGTGCACCACAAAGTGACATACATCGTCTATGGACTTTGTGCTCATGATAGGTCACTTCGTGGTGCAACTGACAATGTATTCCTTCCTGATCACCACTCTGCCATTCCACATCCCCTTGCCTCCTCCCCAACCACCGACTTTATCATCTGTCAGTAGTTTGACTTTGACAGTCCTTTCTTATTTGCTGTATATTCTTGGACAGACAAGGATACCGATGTGATCTGGGAGAGACTGACTGAGAGAGAGAAGAGAGAGTTTGAGTCAGTGTTGCATGCAGGCAGACTGGGCAACTTGGTGCCCATCTGGAAGGCATGGTGGGAACAACATGTAAGTCATCAGAATCAAACATGAAAATGCATCTCTGTCAATACAATGTGATGCACAGTTCCATTCAAGTAACTCTATGAAAGGGTTACTTTACAGATTGAGCATGAAATTGATTCCCTTAATTTGAAGGAATTAAAACAGTGTCCTCTGATAATTTTAACCAAAATATCGGCTTGTCAGTTATAGTGGACACCAATTTGAGCCTTTATTATCAACTCGCAGTGCACAATAAGTCAAGTAGATATTGTAAGCTGAATTTCAGATACAAATGCTGAAAATACTTGTTGCCAACTTTCTCCATTTATCATTATTGCGATTTGTCTCATAAAATGTTAAATGTAAGTAGAGCTTGTGCTCATAGGAAACAACTCAATCTTTCTGGAGACACTGCTGTCCACCAGCAGAATGCAGTATATAATTCATTTTATCGTTGCTCATCTTTATATTTTTTTTCCTGAAATAGGACCAAAGCTTAGTCAAAGAAATTGGCATTGACCCATCACCCCCCACTCCACCTCAGTCAACTCCGCCCCCAGAAAAGCCCAAAGAACCATCATACGCTGATGAGATTGAAGTAGATTTGGCCAAAATGGCCAAAGATTTGGGTTTGAATGATGAAGACACGACTGAAGAAGAGATTTCGAGGGAATTATCCACTACATGCGATTGTCCTCCTATTCTCAAGACGATTCCCAAATTGAGTGATTTGCTACGAAACAAGAAACCGTCCGAGTGTGTGATGTACAATCTACTGAATCTCCTGTATCCTTTGCTTTATTTAATCGTTCTATAAATTTTATATTTCAACAGTGATTAAATTTTTCTAAGATTTCAACGACAAATGAACAATGCCCGACATTTATCACAGATGACCATCTTGCTGAAAAGAGAAAAAGCAGTGTCTTACATTTCATAAAGCCCTCACTTATGGATTTTTTCAGAGCAATATTAGTTTTGAGCAGAGTCAATAATAACATGTGGCGCTTCATAAAATCTTGCAGAACTTCACCAAAACAATCTCATTTCAGCCACAAGAGGGTTCTGTATGCACAGAGATAATAAGCTGTTGCATTAAAATATGAACGATAAAAGAAACCTCTTCACAACTTGTTGTTTTTCTGAAGTAATCTGATCAGCTACAGCTATGCATGTGTAGTCAGATTCTACAATGGGACACACAACGACTTACCAGTACAAGTGGCTCAGGTACAATGTTATATTTGGGGTGGACATACATATGTCCAGATTTCTGTTGGAATGCAAGGAAATCTATTAAATCTAGGCACAGGGATTTGTTAACTGAAAGGAAGCACACCTCTCCAAACTTGAGACATTTTTCACGTAGAATAATGCTGTTTGATGAGTTTGAATGGGTGTGTCAAAGTTGGACTGAGCGAGATGAAGTGGTCACAAGTTGAATGCATTATTTTGGGCCGGACAACTTACTCGTTGGCCCTCTTGCTCGCCTGTTCTGCCTCATTTTAATTTTTGCAAGTTCTTTAAGTCATAACAGCTGAATTTCTTTTGGTATTTCCTTTACTATCATCATTTACCTCCATGTTGTGTCCATCTACAATCGGTAGTCTATGAGAAAATCATTGTATATAATTAATTGGCAACAGTGCACTCAGTTTGGTGACGATGACAAACCGTGTCAATTCAGACTTGAATCACACTAATTGGGGTAATAATTCAGGTAATACATAGACCACCCAACTATGAAGGTAAATTCCTTGTATCTTTCCACAGAACCTACTTGAAGTGTCGGCCACACTGAGTGACAATGCAAACTACAATGGAACGGAGGAATCCCTGGCAAGTGCACTACACAATGCATCCAAGGTGGGCATACAATGTATAGTTTTATTGCTATGCAAACAGCATTTTCATCCTTGCTTGAGATTCCTTGAGTAATGGACTCCGTGCATAAGAACCCTCCTCCCCTCAATTCAGTTCCAAATAAGTTAGACTGGAGTCTTGAACACATTGTCACGGTTTGACTGATGCTCACAGAGCAAAGAGTTTGTGAGCGCATTTAGGATGCAATCAATCACCGTTACTTTGCACCATACGCATGCTAATGAGTGTACAGATGCAATGTGTCCCTCCCTTGAGAGTGGTCACACGCTGGGAGTCTATAGCAGAACAGTTCAGATCCCATACAGTTCTGATTTCATGCGTAGTTGGGAGTTTCATTAATACAATTTACTAACCTCACTATGGGATCCGTGCAAAAGTACCCTATCAAAAGCCAGAAAAGGAGAGTTGGGGGTGACCTAGACTGGTTTCTGATCCATCCACTGGGTAGGCCAAAGTTATTGGGGGCGAGGATTAGTCTTTGAGACCTTCGCAAGTTGAATTCGAACGTATTCCTGCGCCGACGACACCTGACGCTCACGTGAAGACGTGGTGGCTATAACTTTTGTACATTCAGGAATTTGTGCGCGAACCAGTACAGTACAGTACACGCACGCTGTGTGTCCTGTCCACGGAGCTCTCAAAAGAGGTAAAAATGCGCCCTCTTTTGTTGGCACACGGAGCCTATAATGTAAGTGACCCGATGTACCTCAGTGAAGAGTTTGCTGTAGACATGGTTATACTTACTTAAATAGGTTATGGCCTGAACAATAATGGAACCTCTTTATGTTTTAAACGTAAGAGATACGTCAATGGCAACTACAATCATTGTCATTTTGTATGCGTATGAAGCACACCACCTATTGTTAGAATACGCACTTGTAGTGCAGTCATATTTGAAAGTAACAGGGGTGTTTAACAAAGCCTTGTAATATTTGTCCGTGTTTTCATTCTTTTTCTAGTCGCTGTCAACTAGTAACACATTTTCCACCTCCATTCTTCAAGACATGGTCCACATTCTCCTCGGAGCAGCATCTGATGCACCAATCAGTTACGTCCAATCAGCTCTATCAGACTTGCATCAATTATTGGGAGCAGCAAGAAAACAGCTAGTCAAAAGTAAGCCTATAAGGATTTTTCACGTTAGTAATTCTCTTAGCAATACAAGACAGCTGTTTCATGTTTGTAATTATTTACAGAATAACAGGTAGCTATTTCATGTTTGTTACCCTGTACGAATCAGCATCTGATGCATCGATCCTTTATGTCCAACTACCTGCCAGAAAAAAAATACTTGTCAAAGGTATGTTAGTAGATGGCTATTTAATGTTTGTAATAGTCTAAGGAATATCTGGCAGCTATTTTATGTTCATCTTAATCGGGAAGTAAGGTCTGATGTCCCCAACGCCTGCTTTCTCATCAATTGTTTAGAGCAGCCAAAGTGGATTAGAGGTTTGCTTTGTCTAAGATGAACTCTTCATAATTTGTTTCCATAGAATCCAAGAAGTCCCCAATCAACGGGGATGCAGAAGACCCCAAGCAACCAAAGGCTGGTCCATCAGAGAGCAAGTCACTGCTTCCAAAGACTTGCTTCAATTGCCAGAAGAAACTAGAATTCTTTCTGGCTTGGTTAACAGACAATCAAGACAAACCTAGAATCCTGCTGCTTGAAGTGGACGCCATGTACAGTAAGTGACCTGCTTATCTAGGATTGTGTTGATGATACAAGACTCAACATACATGGCATGTGTTCAATTACAAGTACTCAGATAATTGTTTTGAGTTCCAAGTACGGTCAATGTATACTGACATAGCAAATAAATTTCATTGCGTTAATTTTCATCACATTTGTTTTCATCCATTTTTTTTCTTAAGCTTTGAAATTGAGAAAACTAAAAAGTTCCAGAATTCAAACATGCAAATTAGGATTTTTTTTTCTTCAAATTAAGAAACCAATTTTTTTGTAAATCTTTCATCAAGAGATTTCATTCTCTTTGGATGACAAACAATTTTTTTCCAACATAGCTTTTTATGACTTTGTTTTTTCTAGGATCAAGAAGATTGTTGGATGAGCAGCACAGTGCAACCAAGTCAACTCTTGAGAAGCAATGGGGCGGAACAAAACCACCGGCAAAAACAAAAGCAAAACACACACTCATTGAGGAACTCAGCTGAGTGGTTCTTCTGTAATCATACTGATATTTCTATTGCGCAAAATGCCTAATAAAAAAATCCTCTATAGGAGTTGGAATTCTTTCCTGCCATAAACTTGATGTCATAGTTTGTAGTGAGCTAGACTCAGCCTACCCAGTCAATGAACAGAAATCTTCAAATTGGAGATCGTAATAGAGGCGTATCTAGATGGATCTAGTCAGCAAACTGAGGCTGTGTGGGCCTTAAAGTCGTTCACCATTGATGGCTTCTGTATCTCAGATGGGAAACGATATGAAACAATCATCTCTACATGCTGCTAGTATGCAATGAGCAGGAACATGATATAATGGCTTTTTGAAAGCATCTTTTTCCCTGTCTTGGCCGTTCCGTCAGTTACAATTTGCAAGGCTTTCTGGCAAAATGAGAAGGAACTGGGCACATGCCACAGTGGAGAAAAAGGGAAAAAAACAAATACGGAGATTTGTTTCAATTTTCAGATTTATTGATATTTATTGATAGTATAAGAATTGTGGAATAATTTTTTTTATAGGGAAAAACCAAAAGGCATCTTTCTTTTTTCTCGAATACAAAACTCGAAACATTGAAGGCCTTTTTCTCAGTATTTTACTTTTTTGATAAATACAGATTTTAAGCAGTCGTAGCTTGTCAACAGAATGTCCAATTAAAATGTACAGCAAACATTTTGTTGTGTCCTAATACCCACAAATCCTCATTTCCACCTCTGCCTAATTCCATCTCATTTTGCCAGAACGCCTCGTATTTCATTTATTCGTTTCACGCCAGATTATCTTTGTGTTTGTTTTCCCCTTTTTTATTTTCACTTTGACCACTAGTTTTTAGTGGTAAACAATGTATGCATTAACATGCAGTTGGGATCGGAATGTCAAGTATTCAGCAGTCTGAACACAAAGCTGTCCTCAAAGACTCTCCATTATGTCATTGCACCAATTTGGAGGTGTACAGTTGTATGTAATATATACATGTAGATTTTTTACAGGGACAGATTTGAGATTGATTTTTGTGGAAAAGAAAAAGAACTCATTTTGAGACGAAATAGACATTTGTTGGTTTTTTTTTCAAACAATTCAATATCATATTTATTTTTCTAGCTAATATGTCTTTACAAATGTTAAGTATTCTGTATGTCAAACTTTTGCCAGTTTTCTAATTTTGTTAATGACAAATGAAGAGCCTCTCCACGAAAATGAGTCAGATTGATAATTGGCGATGAAAATTGTTTACTTCTCATGAATGCCATTACAAATTGAAAACACTTTACAAAGTCTTGTGTGGTTTGGAATTTCGTCCTTTTTTTTTAATTCCTAGTTGCATGCCTGGAAATAGCGTGGGTAAATAACATTCCCAATTTTGCTATATCTTCATTTCGCTTCTTATTTTAATAACTTTGGTAATATGTTCTGTTTTATAGTTTGGTACAAAAACAATCAATTAATGCAAGATGCTATAAAAGCAAATTTAGTTTGAAACTTCACTTCTATATTAGAAATCCAAGACTTTAATATTTGGGAAATCAACAAGTTCTTCCTGGGGACAGAGACACCAACTGCAAATTTATGATTCTGGTTCATTTCCACAGAGAGGCACACTGAACTTAAATAATGACCTATGTAAATAAGGGTCATGGAGCATGGTCAGAAGCAAACCCGTTAAGAAATAAATATTTACACTTTCAGCATCACTATTCTTATTCTACCACACAATCTTTGCAATCAGGTTATAGTTTTTATTGCATATACATTTGTTACACTGCCTTTGGGCTTCTTGGGAAGAACAAACATGTTCCAATTTTTTTCACAAGGTACTCCATGCTGGATCTCTAGATGACACTCTGTGACCCATGACCCCCAGGCTAGAGTATATCACAAGTCCATATTCAGTGAGTGTGCACAACTAGTAAACAATTGAAAATGTTTAATGTGCACAAACTTTTAGCCTTTTGAGGTAAGAGGAGCACTCCTAAGCATGGGTGCACACAGTATAGTTTACTGAGAGGTTACGTTATGCACATACATGTAATCCATACAAGAATGTGACATTGCTTGGAGAAGTTGAAGTTTGAAAAGGCAAAAAAAAGAGTGGTGAGAAATGGTTTTGTTGATTTAATAATCCTAGTTTGATTTAGTTAAATGCCAACATCAGATTATAAATGGTTTAATTTTGTCATTGATGGCAGTGTAATAACTCTGGTGATGCTGAACTCTGGTGATGCTTAGCGCCGTGTTGCAAAAAACGACCCCCAAAAACCCCATAATTCTTCCAATGCTGTAGCTAACGATCAATCTCTCCAAACACAACATCCAAAGTTCCTGTAAAAAAAACCAGCAGGATACAGTTTGATAAGTGAAACAGGATTGTACTTTTTCTCTTCAATACACAAGAATTAATTTTGTTCTGTATTGATGTATTAAAAGCAAAGCAATTTCACTACTTTCTCACTGTCTGGCAGAGAGAAATACAAACAATGTCAGATGCTTGCAAACCCACAACCACCATTGTCAATGCGTGCCATCATGACAAGTACTCTCACTCTGCGAATTCACAAATATTGAACACACTACAGTGATTTTACCACCAATGATGTTTGTGACGTCATGTGTGATCTGCATTTGTTCTCACAAAGTTATGCTATAATGTGTTTCTTTTTTTCCTTAGTTTGAGTGCCAATTTAACAATACCGTTTATGAAATTATAAAATACCCAGTTGCAGTATTCCATTGCGCCTGAATGAGACCTATACATTCCCCGACCTGATCTTTAAATAACTAAACTCACCGATAATAGCTACTGCATCAGCCAGCATGTGACCCTTAGACACCATGTCCAGTCCCGCTAGATGAGCAAAACCTGGAGCTTTGATCTTACAACGGTATGGTCGACTGGATCCATCAGAGACCAGATACACACCAAACTCACCCTAATAGGGTAAAAAAAAAATGATGTCAGCTACTTGACGTTACAATAGACTATTCCAGATTTGGCCATAAGCCCCGCCCACCTTTGGTTTGTGTACATTTCTCACAGGTACTGAGTTTGACTGAGTTACCTTGGTCACCTGACCAACAGTCCTGATCTGATTGGTCAATGTTCAGTGTTTGATTGACAGGCAGGAAGGGTCCATAGTATGGTTAGCTACTTCCATAGTTTGAATCATTGTCGGGTGCCATTCTGAAGTACTTTGAAAGGAGAATTTTCAAAGAACCAGTAATTCAGCACCCTGTTTGTTATTCCAAAGATCAATTACCATGGCAACCATGGAAAGAATGCCACGAACTCAACACTTTGGGAAATCAAATTTTGACCTTTAACCTTTTCTTGGCATTTACCTGAGGTATTTTTGCTATGTGACCACTAGAGGGCCAAGGTGATGCACAGATCTATTAGCTTACCTTAGGTGCTTCAATCGCTGTGTATGTAGCCCCCGGCGGTACCTGATAGCCCTCTGTGTACAGCTTGAAATGATGAATCAGAGCTTCCATAGATTCCTGCAAGAAAAGATGATCAAACGGTAGTTATTGTTGAACCCAAATTGACAATGATGAGTATAACAGACCCATCCATGGTGCCCCATCTATGGCACAGGTAGATAACACAATATACAATGTACACCTGTCTTATACCACGCTGCATGTTCCAGTCATGCACCCCATATGTACCAGCACACTGGTGCCCCATCTATGGCACAGGTAGATAACACAATATACAATGTACACCTGTCTTATACCACGCTGCATGTTCCAGTCATGCACCTCATATGTACCAGCACACTGGTGCCCCATCTATGGCACAGGTAGATAACACAATATACAATGCACACCTGTCTTATACCACACTGCATGTTCCAGTCATGCACAAGCGCACATGTCGGACTGATGTCTAACATTATTCACTGCTATGATTGGTCCACAGATCCTACACACAAGGATTAACGACTCGGCCCAACTCCTGGTTAGACGCATGATAACGGCCCATACAGGTGGCAATGACCATGAATACTTGTCAACAAAGACCCAGACAGCTTCCCGCTTCACTTCGCACGGCGGCTTTCAAATTTGCAGGGATCTACGCCCAATCTGGTGTCAAAGTCTGTCAAGCAAGCTAATTATATTTTTGAATATTCATGATCCTATGTTTTGGCCTTTATTAATGAATTCTGGTAAGTGATAACTACATAACCATGTTAACGCAGATATCTTATGCTTTAAAATGAACTATTATGTTTTATTGGTTCAGGACCACATCTCTCTAAAACTTTTTAATGAAAGCCTAATTAAAATAATATTTGAGTAAACGGTGCTCTCCTCGAAAAAGGTGTCACATTTGACTACTATTTCCCGGGTAAATACTTCATCTATGACGACAAAACCTGCACAATACCATCCCTCATATCCTGAAGTATTTATTTATGAATATTTTCTGTTTTAGACATCATGCACACAAAAAAAAATTAAAATGTCACACCTGGAACACTAATGTGCCAACGGATATTAAGGCCTGTTATCACGCGTCCAACCAAATAAGGCAAGTCCGTTCATTGCATTTTGTACTATAGCTCAGACCAGTCTTACATCCTTGTGTGTAGGATCGGTGGTTGGTCAAATCAAAGGCGGGCTTCTGTCAATTTCTGTTATCCATGTTATAAATGTATACATTTAGAATTACTAGTCTATTAGCAGTCTTGGCTAAGACCACTGGGCACACTCAAGTAATTATCTCTGTTGTCACTGTAGCATCCAAAACCACCCTGCCTATTATTCACTGTAGCACCCGAAACCCCCCCCCCCCCCCTGCCTATTACTCACTGAAGCACCCAAAACCGTCCTGCCTATTACTCACTGAAGCACCCAAAACCACCCTGCCTATTACTCACTGAAGCACCCAAAACCGTCCTGCCTATTACTCACTGAAGCACCCAAAACCACCCTGCCTATTACTCACTGTAGCACCCAAAACCACCCTGCCTGTTACTCACTGTAGCGCCCTAAACCACCCTGCCTATTACTCACTGAAGCACCCAAAACCACCCTGCCTATTACTCACTGTAGCACCCAAAACCGCCCAAGCACTCTATGGTTTGATTGATTTTTCAGTGAATAAACACAATGTAGTACAGGTGCTAATGGTTCAAATGTCCCCTCAGGTTTTCCTTCCTCCCTGCCTTCTGCTATTGGTACAACCTGCCCCTCACACCCACCACACCCCTCAGTTGGATGTGGACCAGTCAAGCTTTCAAATCATTCTTTCCTTGATTGCCACCCACATGTATGGAATTCCATCAGGCCATGTGCAGTCAGTGTACTAGATGCTTTGCTAGGGTGTGGTGGTGTGATAGGCTGTGAAGGGCAG